CAGCTGTGCTGCCGAGGCAGTGGCTCTATTATTTAAAATAAAGTACAGTTTTCTTTAATACAAATACATTACTTAAAACCCGAGGCAGCCATGCTGCCGAGGCAGTAATTCGAGGTTTTTAATAATAAAAAATTATTTAGAAACCGAGGCAGCTGTGCTGCCGAGGCAGTGGCTCTGGAACTTAAAATATAGTAAAGTTTTCTTTAATACAAATGTATCATTTAGAAGCCGAGGCAGTAGTTTAAGGTTTCCAATTATAACATATTATTTAGAAACCGAGGCGGCTGTGCTGCCGAGGCAGTAACTCTAGTAATTAAAATATAGTAAAGTTTTCTTGAATACAAATGTATTACTTAGAAGCCGAGGCAGCCAAGCTGCCGAGGCAGTAGTTCAAGGTTTCCTATAATAACATATTATTTAGAAACCGAGGCAGCTGTGCTGCCGAGGCAGTGGCTCTAAAACTTAAAATATAGTAAAGTTTTCTTTAATACAAATCTATCATTTAGAAGCCGAGGCAGCTATGCTGCCGAGGCAGTAGTTTAAGGTTTCCAATTATAACATATTATTTAGAAACCCAGGCGGCTGTGCTACAGAGACAGTAACTCTAGTAATTAAAATATAGTAAAGTTTTCTTTAATACAAATGTATTACTTAGAAGCCGAGGCAGCCAAGCCGCCGAGGCAGTAGTTCAAGATTTCCTATAATAACATATTATTTAGAAACCGAGGCAGGTGTGCTGCCAAGGCAGTGGCTATTGTACTTAAAATAACGTAAAGTTTTCTTTAATACAAATGCATTACTTCGAAGCCGAGTCAGCCATGCTGCCGAGGCAGTAGTTCAAGGTTTCCGATAATAACATATTAATTAGAAGCTGAAGCAGTAACTTTAGTTTTCATAAGTTTCAATAAAGTAAACTTTTTTCTTTAATACAAATGCATTACTTAGAAGCCGAGGCAGCAGTTCTAGTACCTCAAATAAAGTGAAGTTTTCTTTAATTATAGTGTAATAAAAATGTACAGAAATACAGTGCTTCCCAAAAGTAACGGATAAATTCGTTAAAACAATTATTATAGACGGTTTATGGAAAAATCGCTGAGACAGGTCTAAAGGCCATTTTGCAGTAAGCAATTTTTCTTGCATGCAAGGTATCTTGCACGAAGTTATTGCGGCAATATCTACCGCTATTGGCTTTACATTTGGCAACATTTAACTACAATATTTCAGTTGTAATCGCACCATTGATTACAACACATATTTTTTGAAAGATTGAGGCACATGTACACAAACAAACCAACAAAACACGTTATGTCGTTATATTTTACAGTTGGCAATACAAAAAGTAACCAAAAAATTCACCATACTTTCAGGGCAAGTGCAATAAATTACCGCAATATTTCTTGTCGGCAATCAAACTTGCGAACTGTAAAGTGGCCTTTAGGATTTAAATTGTTTTCCGAATTTGGTGCAGCCAAAATTAATATTAGCTACATAACAAAATTTTCGAGAAAAATTGCCTTAAAGTTTCATGATTTTCCATTCATTTGAGGTAGAAAAATAGCAGTGGCCATGCGTAACCATGGCAACCAACTGTTTCAGATGTCAAAAATTAATCATTGTCTTAATAAAATATCTGAAGCAACTGGTTACCATGGTTACGAGTGGTAGCCGTATGTCTCTCAAGACGGCTAAACCCGAATGATTCTAGTTCTAGGTTTAGTGTTAGATCTAGTTTTAGTGCAATAAAAATATGCAACATAGTGATATTTTATGCTAACTAGCGTTACCTACGACTGTCACTAGAACTAACACCAGACCTAGAACCAGAATCATTCGGGTTTAGCCGTCTTGAGAGACGTGCGGCTAAATCCGAATGTTTCTTCTTCTAGGTCTAGTGTTAGTTCTAGTTTTAATTGCTATTCAGTGCTATATTATTGTATATTTTTATTGCACTAAAACTAAGACTAGAACTAGAACAAGAAATATTCGGGTTTAACCCTCTTGAAACAATTGGTTGCCATAGTTACGCATGGCCACTGCTATTTTTCTATCTCATTTGAATGGAAAATTGTAAAACTTTAAAATTTGTAGTAATATTAGTATTATAGTATATATTAGTAGTTTATATTAGTTCTTTCAAATTCCGTAATAAAAATGGGGGGTGCTATTTGAAAAAAAAAATTGATGACGTCATGACTCGTTTAAAAAATTAATTATCAACATCTATATCAAAAAATTGCAAATCAAAATTTAAATCTTTAGACCAGTCTCAGCGATTTTTCCATAAACCGATTTTGTTTTAGCGAATTTATCCGTTACTTTTGGTAAACCCTGTATATCGATTAACACACGTCATTTTGACATATGTCAAAGTTCTTAGTTTCTGCACCTCATCGTTTTTGCTCTTAAATTAAACGATTTTTGAAGTGGATTAATATATAAACTAATATATTTTGATTAATAGATGTCAATTTGACAGATGACAACTTAAACTTAATTATTTTCGCCGAAGAATGAGGCGGTATTGGTTCAAATTGATTAAAACTTGATACCGCCACTTAATTATTTGACAGATGTCAAAATGACAACTATAATTTTAAATATTTTTTTATTATAATAAAATGTATTATTATTACCTAAAATAACAACAATTTCAAATCGCTCCCTCAATAAATCCGTGGCTGACATATAATACAACGGTGAATGCTTATCAATTTTATGAACGATAGTGGTGGGCCAAATAAAAAAAATTTTATCCTCCTCCCCATCTCCGCCAACTTTCAATTCAGTTTGAAAGAACGGCAAATTCTCGCCTTCCTTCGTCACTTTGTGCTTGATTAATTGCGCGCGGACGTGAGCTTCGATAATATGGCTTTTTCTCATATCCCCGACTCGAAACATTAAGCAAGGAACCCCATCCCGGTGGCAAATAACCGCGTTCCTCGAAAACAACAACGTTTGAGTCCTTTTTTTCGGGCGCGATAATTTCGCGAAAACGACCCCGACCATAAAGGCTTGGATCATAACGCCGCTTATGCTTTGGACGCACATCACTAAAATCGCTTCCGGGCATTCTTCGGTGGTCGTTCGGCCGCCGTAACCGATTGTGTGTTGGGTTTCGACGCTAAATAAAAAGCACGAAGTGAATCCTTTTATGTTGCTGATGCAGGGCGTCCAGGTTTCGTTGGCCATATTCTCGGGGATTAAATCTCCGTGAACTAAGGATATTAAAAACCAAAAAGTGGCGAATAATAACCACGACATTAAAAAGTTCATCGCGAAAACTAAGAGTGTCCAACGCCATTGGGCGTCCACTAACGTTGTGAAGATGTCTTGGAGATATTTTCGACGACGTTTTGCGACGTTTCCTTGCACTACGTTGCAATCGCCGTGTTTGAAAACGACTCGTTTTCGAATTCTTCGTGCGTTAAATCTTGATTGGCGATATCTAAAAAAAAAGTAAATCACATCAATTATTATATTTCTTAGCAAATACTTTGCTTGCTTGTTCATTATGGAATGAGTACATTCAAATAATTCTTTTTAATTAATTAATAATTTCATTTTATTTATTTTTTTTACTACTTTTGCGGTTAAACTCGTACTACTAAACTTATTTTTCAATTTGTGTAAATTACCAAATTTTTTCCAACACGTAACAAAGCATTGTTTTTTTTTTCTGACCACAACAAACCGTGTTACGCGATTTGAAACGAATTTATATTTTGATTCATGAATTTATAATGAATAACACATTGATACAAAGATAGAAATCATTTTGGTTGTGATTGAGGCAAACTAAGAACGTGAAATTGATACATAATTAAGCCGAGGTCGCTTGCGGGCGAGGCGCTACAATTAATATTGCATCGATACTTTGGTTAGGTTTAAAACGTGGAATTTGTGATATTGTGTAAAGAAACCAAGGTTGTTTACGGCCGAAGCATTGCCTAAGGCAAACTAAGAAAGTGGAATTTGTGGTATAACTTGATTAAGCCGAGGTCGCTTGCGGGCGAGGCGCTACAATTAATACCATATCATATATTATAATTAAACATAAAATAAGGGATTTATGTCACTGCGCGATCAAGTCGAGACGTATGTATTCAAACTTAACTTTATGTTGTTCTAGGTTATCAACATTTTCTTGTAGAAAATTAAAAATACCTTAATTTGAGTCCAAACTCGATGAGGTTATCTCAAAAATTACCCGTTTGAGCCTAAATCGATTTCCATGTCGATTTTGAAAAAATTTGTTGGAATAACTCGGTCATGTTGGTACTCGTTTTAAAGGATTTTTAATCGCGGTTAAGAATTTTTCAATGAAATTTAAAAAAAATTATCAATTTAAGACTCAACATAATCCAACATAAACAAATTTTCTTAAAAATGAAAATTTTAACCAACATTTTCTTACAAAAAATGAGAAAACAACTGATTTGAGTCTAAACTCGATGAGGTTATCTCAAAAATTTCCAGTTTGAGCCTAAATCAACTTCGCTGCAGATGAGCGCCATTTTGAAAAATTAAATTAAGACAACTTTATCGTGTTGGTACTCATTTTAAAGGATTTTTAATCGCGATTATGAATTTTTCAATGAAATTTTAAAAAAATAATCTGTTTACAAGTTAACCTCAAATTAACATCAAATTTTTTTTAGTTTGCTTAGGTTGAGAGTTTGAGAGGTTGAAATTTCATTTAAAAATTCGTAATCACTTAATTAGGCTCAATCGATAATTTTTTGAGATAACCCCATCGAGTTTAGACTCGAATTATAACGAATTTATCATTTCCTATAAGAAAATGTCATCGAAAACAAATTTCTTTTAATAATAAACTTAGGTTGGTTTGGTTAGGTTGAGTCGTAAAATACTTAGTATTTATTTAAAAATGTTTAATCAAAAATACTTTAAAACGCGTATGAACGCGATCGGGTTATCATAATTAATCGCTTATCGATATCAAACGATATCAATCGGTCAACCCATCCTAATCCAACTCGAATGTTTCTAGTTCTAGGTCTAGTGTTAGTTCTAGTTTTAGTTTAATAAAAATGATTTGGTGTTTTTTGAAACAGTTTGGACGCACGGCTAAAAAAAACTTTCAGGTGTCAACGTCAACTTTAATTTCATTATTATATTCGTAATCTTTATTAAATAACCTTTAAAATAAGCCCAAACATGATGCATTTATCTCGAAAAACAAAGAAGTTAGAATAGAAAATATTAAACCTGAAGTTGGCAACAATGAAGTTAGCAACATAATTTTTAAATATCAATACCAACCTTAATTTTTGGTTTTTTTTTGTATTTTCGTTTTTTATGAAATATTATATTTATTTTAAGACATTTTCATAAAATTACGAATATGTCAAAATTGACGTTGACATTTCAAACCGGAAATTGACCATAACTTCATTAATATTGAATTGAAATATGTCGTGTTGGTACTCATTTCAAAGGATTCTTAATGACGATTACAAATACGTCAAAATTGAGGTTGACATTTCAAAGTTGACTACTTCATGGTGTTAATGTCAATTTTAATGTTGATATATTCGTAATCCTTATTAAATAACCTTTAAAACGAGCCCAAACATGACGCATTTATCTCGAAAAACAAAAAAGTTAAAATAAAAAATATTAAACCTGAAGTTGGCAACAATTAAATTAGCAACATAATTTTTAAATATCAATACCAACCTTAATTTTTGGTTTTTTTTTTTGTATTTTCGTTTTTTATGAAAAATTATATTTATTTTAAGACATTTTGATAAAATTACAAATATGTCAAAATTGACGTTGACATTTCAAACAGGAAATTGACCATAACTTCATTAATATTGAATTGAAATATGTCGTGTTGGTACTCATTTCTAAGGATTCTTAATGACGATTACAAATACGTCAAAATTGAGGTTGACATTTCAAAGTTGACAACTTCATGGTGTTAATGTCAACTTTAATGTTCATATATTCGTAATCCTTATTAAATAACCTTTAAAATGAGCCCAAACATGACGCATTTATCTCGAAAAACAAAAAAGTTATAATAAAAAATATTAAACCTGAAGTTGACAACAATGAAGTTAGCAACATTATTTTTAAATATCAATACCAACCTTAATTTTTGAGATTTTTTTTTGTATTTTCGTTTTTTATGAAATACTATATTTATTTTAAGACATTTTGATATAATTTCGAATATGTCAAAATGACATTAACATTTAAAACCGGAAGTTGCTTCTATCTCAGATAATGGGCGCGTTCACCAGAGAATTCCGTTTACGTTGGCAAACGCAAACGGGTTACGATTGCCTTGGTGATTTGGTGAACGACCAATTTTTCTATAGGCATATGGTTTGATAACAACAGATGGCGCTTTAATGACAATTATTTACAATTTTAATTAATTTATAGATCATACCGCTCAATTTATCATGAATTTCTTCATTTTCAAAGATAGTATACACTAACCCATTAAATAAATAATTTCGGGCTTCTGCCATTCTTTTTTGTTGATTTTAAATTTAAGATGACACAAACATCAAACACCGTTTGCGTTTGCTAACGGAAAAATCATACGATTGATAAAATGGAGGCCGTTTACCAAACACGTTTGAAGTTAGCGTTGCGTTCACCAGAAATGTTGCCAACAGTTTGGTCTCCGTTTGCAAACGTTGACAGTTGGTGAACGCGCCCAATATTGAAGTTAAACCTATCATGTTTGGACTCATTTTAAAGTATTTTTAATTAAAATCACAAATATATCAAATTTTACATTTACATTTCTAACCGGAAGTTGTTTTAGTACATAAAAATATGTAGCATAGTAATATCTTATAGTGAGTTTAAACATGCATGGATTTAGTGGCTCAAACAGTGGTGTTTGTTTATTGAGAACCGCTGATATGTTTTTATTGCTGCCAATCCAGTTGATTTGGTTACTTAGCAACGGACAAGTATTTTAATTATTCTTTACTGAATATCAGCGGTTCTCAAAAATGAACGTTAAATTATTAAAAAAATTACATGCGATATCTATGTACCTATTAAGTTTTTAACAAAACATTCTTAAGAAAATCTCTTCAGTTTTACCTCCAGTACCTACCCTTTTAGTCTGCTCCGTATGTTATAAATCACCTTGTATAGTTGTAGTTTATTATGGCTAAAAAAGGTGGTCGGCCGAATTGGCGTGTCACTTATTTTTGTTTTCGTACATGTAGTGAAAATCTTTACTGGCGGGCAAATTGAACTGGCGCGATTAAATCAATGCATATCTAAACCCACCTTTATGCTAACTAGTACTACCTACCACTGTCACTAGAACTAACGTTAGACCTAGAACTAGAATCATTCGGATTTAGCCGCACGGCTCTCAAGACGGCTAAACCCGAATGATTCTAGTTCTAGGTCTTGTGTTAGTTTTAGTGATAGTCCTAGTCTAAAACTAGAACTAACACTAGACCTAGAACTAGAAACATTCGGGTTTAGCCGCACGTCTCTTAAGACGGCTAAACCCGAATGATTCTAGTTCTAGATCTTGTGTTAGTCCTAGTGATAGTGTAAAACTAGAACTAACACTAGATCTAGTACTAGAAAGTATCGGATTTAGCCGTGCATCTGAAGACCGATTAGCCGTCTTAAGAGACGTGCGGCTAAACCCGAATGTTTCTAGTTCTAGGTCTTGTGTTAGTTCTAGTGATAGTCCTAGTGTAAAACTAGAACTAACACAAGACCTAGAACTAGAATCATTCGGGTTTAGCCGTCTTGAGAGACGTGCGGCTAAATCCGAATGTTTCTACTTCTAGGTCTAGTGTTAGTTCTAGTTTTAATTGCTATTCAGTGCTATATTATTGTATATTTTTATTGCACTAATACTAGAAAACTAGAAAGTATCAGGTTTAGTTAAAATAATAATTTTTTTTCTTTTAATAAAATTAGGTTGGTTCGATTAGGTTGAATCGTAAAATTTTAATCGCAATCAAAAATTCTTTAAAACGCGTATTAACGTAATTAATTTTTTCAAAATGGCGCTTATCGATATCAAAATTAATTTAGGCTCAAATGATTTTTTTTTGAGACAACCCCATCGAGTTTGGGCTCAAATTACGGGATTTTTGATTTCTTTTTCGGAAATATTAAATTTTTTTTTATTTAAATAAGATTAGGTTATATTTGGTTAAAAATAGAAATTCCCGTGCTTATCGAGTCAAGGACAAATTTCAAAGAAATATTATTTGAACGAGAAGCAAAAAGGGGATTCCAGGTGCTTAAAGAGCAGATGGCACAAATATTTGTCCCTGCTTTATTCATTGTTAAAGAAATACAAAGAATTTCTTTCATGCCGCGATTTCAATGAGAACTCGTTTAAATCAAAAAATAATCACCTTCTCCACTCTTCGTTCCAAGCCTCGTCACCGGAAGTCGAAGCTTTGATGACCATCATCGAAAGTTGCGACATACATTTTCGTAATCCTTGCATTTTTATTTGAAAAATTAAACTTGTTCGAAATTCAATTTCCGCATAATTAAATCGCGAACAAACGCGAACTTAACCAATAATAATACTAACTTAAAAAAGCACGTAGTAGTCACAAAACGCGAACTAAGTAGACGTCATAAAATTATTAGCTAAACTGTTCTTGAAATGTTTCGCGCACCATTCGCATTTAAAGGAATGCTTGCAATCGTATTGTTTTCACCTATTTTTTATTACTCCTCATTTATACGTTTTTAACAAACCGTTTTCAAACTCCATTTAAACTTAGAGAGGTCTTAAGAAGCTTTGCGAAGAATTTTATACGAATTGTTGGCGTAGGATTCTTGAATTAACATTAATTTAGGTTAACGACCAAAATTATTTTAATTTTAAAATAAAAACGTCAAGTGGAGCGATAAAGCGAACACTGATGGTGATTTAAAATTATAACCGTCTGACAATGAGTTAAAAATAAAACTAGTTAGATCATTTAGTTTAATTATAATTATAACATTTTTGGGCGCCTAAGAGATTCAAATTCTTTTTTTGCATAAAAAAGATTCTTTTTAAACGCGTCTATTGATTTTGGAATAGGTTCTAAAGTATTTTGAGAGAGTTTTTGGCACGAGACGACTTTTTAAATCGTTTTTCTTTACTTTGCTCTTCAATACGAGGATTAGAAATTAATCGTTTAAGCTTTTAATGCGTTGTTTGTGAAGATTAAGAATAAAACAACAAAGAAAATCGTTTCGTGTAAATAGCTTTTATACAATGCAGCATTTCGCGAAAGATATCGACCAACAAACGTGGCCTAAAAAGCTAAAATGACCCCGATTCAAGAGCTCTTAACAACCAACCCCGAGTATAAAGTAAATATCTAATTGAGGACGATTTTTAATTCGAAATTTATTTAAATTAATTAAGGTAATTAATTGATTAAATTATTAAAATCTACGCGAAATTTCCTTTAATTTGAGTCCAAACTCGATTAATTTCGGATAAAAACTCGCAAAGATGTCGAATAAAAGCCACCATTTTGATTTGTCGCCTTCGATTGTTTTTTGAATTAAATGTCTTTATTTCCGCTCTTTTTAAAGATAAATATGGCGAGTTTGGTGTCGTTGATAATGAATTTTAATTTTCTACCTGCTAAAAACGTGTCCTGGAGAATCATCTTTACCGCCTGTTCTTCCCCCGAGGGTGATTTTAAAGCTTTTCTGGATGGAGCTGAGTAAGCTGTGGCTGGAACTTCTTCTCGTATCGGAAACGGGGACTTGGAGGCGCGAGGATAAAATCGCCGGTTGCGATTTGTTACCATTATTCCCCAAAAGCTGTTCCCACTGTTCTTCGTCCTTGCTTTGATTCCGCGGAGTTTCGGCTTCCAATTTTATGTCATCTGGAGTCTTCGTCCCCATTGGCCTCCGATCTCTTTGATTTTAAAATCATCGAGGGAGGTTCAAAGAAACTGAAAATAAAGAAAATAATAAATAGTTTCGTGTCTGAAGACGCACGGCTAAACCCGAAACTTTCCAGTTCTAGGTCTAGTGTTAGTTTTAGTTCAATAAAAATGATTTTGATTTTTTTATTATTATATTCGTAATCTTTATTAAATAACCTTTAAAATGAGCCCAAACTTGACGCATTTATCTAGAAAAACAAAAAAGTTAGAATAAAAAATATCAAACCTGAAGTTGGCAACAACAAAGTTAGCAAAATAATGTTTAAATATTAATACCAACCTTAATTTGTAAGTTTTTTTCTGATATTTTCGTTTTTTATGAAAAATTATATTTATTTTAAGACATTTCGATAAAATTACGAATATGTCAAAATTGACGTTGACATTTCAAACCGGAAATTAACCATAACTTCATTAATATTGAAATGAAATATATCGTGTTGATACTCATTTCAAAGGATTCTTATTGATAATTACAAATAAGTCAAAATTGAGGTTGACATTTCAAAGTTGACAACTTCATGGTGTTAATGTCAACTTTAATTTTGACATATTCGTAATCCTCATTAAATAACCTTTAAAATGAACCCAAACATGACGCATTTATCTCGAAAAACAAAAAAGTTAGAATAAAATATATTAAACCTGAAGTTGGCAACAACGAAGTTAGCAACATAATTTTTAAATATTAATACCAACCTTAATTTTTGAGATTTTTTCTTGTATTTTCGTTTTCATAAAAAATTATATTTATTTTAAGACATTTTGATAAAATTACGAATATGTCAAAATTGACGTTGACATTTCAAACCGGAAATTGACCACAACTTCATTAATATTGAAATGAAATATGTCGTGTTGGTACTCATTTCAAAGGATTTTTAATGACGATTACATATACGTCAAAATTGAGAATGACATTTTAAAGTTGACAACTTCATGGTTTTAATGTCAACTTTAATTTTGATGTATTCGTAATGTTTATTAAATAACCTTTAAAATGAGTCCAAACATGACGCATTTTTGTCGAAAAACAAAAAAGTTAGAATAAAAAATATTAAACCGGAAGTTGGCAACAATGAAGTTAGCAACATTATTCTTAAATATTAATACCAACCTTAGTTTTTGAGATTTTTTCTGGTATTTTCGTTTTTTATAAAAAAATATATTTATTCTAAGACAATTTGATAAAATTACTAATATGTCAAAATTGACGTTGACATTTGAAACCGGAAATTGACCATAACTTCATTAATATTGAAATGAAATATGTCGTGTTGGTACTCATTTCAACGGATTTTTAATGACGATTACAAATACGTCAAAATTGAGGTTGACATTTCAAAGTTGACAACTTCATAGTTTTAATGTCAACTTTAATTTTGATGTATTCGTAATCTTTATCAAATAACCTTTAAAATGCGCCCAAACATGACGCATTTATCTCGAAAAAGAAAAAAGTTAGAATAAAAAGTATTAAACCTAAAGTTGGCAACAATGAAGTTAGCAAAATAATTTTTAAATATTAATACCAACCTTAATTTTTGAGATATTTTTCTTATATTTTCGTTTTTTATAATAAATTTTAAGACAGTTTATGAATATTAAGTATATGTCACAATGACATTGACATTTAAAACCGGAAGTTGCTTATATCTCGGGTAATATTGAAGTTAAATGTATCATGTTTGGACTCATTTTAAAGCATTTTTAATGAAGATCACAAATAAGTCAAATTTTACATTTACATTTCTAACCGGAAGTTGACCATATCTTCATTAATATTGAAGATAAATGTGTCGTGTTTGTACTCATTTTAAAGGATTTTTAATGATGATTACGAATTTGTCACAATTGACAATGTATAGCAGTTTCAGAACTATGGTCACTGCATTCATATATTGCAAGTTATACGAATTTTCCGGTAAAGAAAATAATAAACAAAGTTTCGCAATATTGATCAATTTTTTTTTTGAATAAACCTTGAAACATTTCTCGTAAACAAAGCCGGAATGCATAATTTTTATCTGATAAGGAAAATATTTTCGAAAAGTTAAAAAATATTTTGACTGATAGTGATAGTGTATATTTAAATCACTCAATGTCATGTTAAAAACTCGAGTGTACCAACCCACTTTCTTAATAAAAAAATACAACCTTCAAATAATAACTTTTGTTATTCCAATTTTTTGTTATCGTCATCATCTGATCTAAATTAATCTCGCTAAAACCAGAGGCTTTTTCGAAAATTCAGGATTAATTCTTATCTTAATGAATCATGTCTCGCAACGATAAAAAATTGTACCATTCGCAGTTGGATTTTCTAAGTGTGATGCAAAAAAAGGTAATAAGTTTTCAAAATGAGTATAAGACGCAGAACTTCTGCGGAAAAAAATACAAATCCATTAGAAGCGTAAGTAAAAATTAAATTCTTATTTGTTTTTTAATTAATTTCTTTGTGTTTAAAGAACATTTATTGAAGATGATAAAATTAAGAAAGACCCCGCCGAAAACATCAAACAAATTTCTTACTTCAATCTGGTAAGTTCTCATTTTCCTTTGTCCTAGTAAGAAAAATCGATGAAATGAGTCATAAAGTGGCGCCAGAAAGGGTTCAACCCCTGGAAGAGGAGTCAAGAACCTCATGGGAAAACCCATTTTAAATTTTAATTTTAGTACCGATACGCAACCCACTTGGATCGTTTCTACATAATCACCGCAATTTTGGGATCGTTAGCCAGCGGGGTGGGAATGCCGCTGATGATGATTCTTTTCGGGAATATAACCCAGGATTTCATTAATTACGCAACGGGAATTAATCAACCCGGAGTTACGGAAGACGAAATCGAGCTACTCGAGGCTCAGCTATTGAACGATATAACGGATTTTGCTGTGTACGGAGCGATCATTGGCGGCGCCACTTTTCTGTTGACCTACGTCGCGACGCTCTTTTATAATTGGGCTTGCATCAGACAAGTAATAAAATTTCGCCTTTAATCACTTTCTCCGACGTTTTTAATTAAAACCCATTTTTATTTAGATTTCTGTGATACGCTCCAAATATATGAAAAATGTATTGAATCAAGATATTTCTTGGTACGATCAAAATCAAACTGGAGATTTTTCGAGTAGAATTTCAGGGTAATATTTTACTTAGATTTAAATATCTGGAGTATGAAACATTTTTTTCATATCACTTATCAAGTTAAATCCACCATTTTGACATTAAAAGCGTCACTTGTCAAACAAGAACTGTCATTTTTGACGTTTACAAAGACATTTCTAAACAAAAACGTCATAATTAAGTTAATAAGTACTATCTTGTCGTTTATTATGTCACTTGTCAAATTAAATCTGTTATTGTTTGGTAGAAAATATTAATTTGATATCAAAAACGTCACTTGTCAAACGGAAGCTGTCATTTTTTTGACGTTTATAAAGACAAGTTGAAAGTATAAAATGTCGTTTTGACGCATGATATGTCATTTCTAAACAAAAACGTCATAATTAAGTTAATAAATACTATGTTGTCGTTTAATACGTCACTTGTCAAATTAAATCGGTTATTAAACCAGGGTGCCAAACTTTGTCAAAGGCCTTTTCTATATCTAAAAAGATAGCGCCCGTGAGGTTGGATATGTTGACTGCTTAGAAAAAAGAGATGCTATTACTCAAACGCTCCCAAAGCTCTAAATATTGCTGGAAAAGACTAGTATCTACATGGGAAAGCAAGATACTGCTTCTAAAAGACTAATAACTGTCTGGAAATACGAGATAGACTGTCCAAAAGGCTATCTACTGCTTCTAGAAAGCTAGGTACTGCTGGAAAAAGATTCATAACTGTTTGGAAGAAGGGAATGCCGATTCCCAAAGACTATTTACTGCTTCCAGAACGTTAAATACTATATCCTTTCTAAAAGGCTACTGCTTTCAAAATGCTAGAAAAAACTACGATCTGCTTGAAAAAACGAGATACTACATCCAAAATACTACTTACTGCTATCACAGCGCTAGTAGATACTCCTGGAAAGAATTTCCACGAAATTACAAAAATATTGGTTTTTACTTAGGTTGTCTTTTCATTTAATTTGTTTTGCACAAGTCCAATATGGTGTCTATGGCTGCTCGCCATCAATCTGCTTCCTACTGTTTCCAAACATAACATACTATTGGCAAAAAACTGCCAACTGCTTGGAAAAGCCTAGATACGGCTGGCTAAAGACTACCTACTACTTACACAAGACTAAATATTTTTGCCAAAAACTACTTATTGCTCGTTTTTAAGTGGGCCGACGATTTTGAAGTTGCCCAAAACATCTCAACCTTAATAATAATGAAATGGCCGTGATAATCAGGGCGGCCGATGTCTTCGAAATCGGCCGTAGTTGCTTTTTCATCCATTTCAAGCGATATAATATATTCTTCTATGCTTCGCGACGTTTATTTATGACAATTATTTTGAGACGGATCATTTTTGTTAAAGAAATGATTTTAGTTCTAGATCTTGTGTAAGTTCTATTAATAGCACCGCCAGTGCAAAACTAGAACTAACACTATACCCAGAACTAGAATCATTCGGGTTTAGCCGCTTTGAGAGACGTGCGGCTAAATCGCATAGTGATAGTGCTAAGGTAAAACTAGAACTAACACTATACATAGAACTAGAAATATTCGAATTTAGCCGCACATCTCTCAAGACGGCTAAACCCGAATGAGTCTAGTTTTAGGTAGTGTTAGTTCTATATAGTAACAGTACCAGTGTAAAACTAGAACTAACACTAGACCTAGAACTTGAAAGTTTCGGGTTTAGCCGTCTTTTATCGTCTGAAGACGCACGGCTAAATCCAGAACATTCTAGTTCTCGGTCTAGTGTTAGTTCTAGTTTTAATTATTCAGCGTTAGATTGTTGTATATTTTTCATTCAATTAAAACTAGAATTAACACAAGACCTAGAACTAGAATCATTCAGATTTAGCCATCTTGAGAGATGTACGACTTAACCCAAACGGTAGTTCTACTGACATTGCAAGTATAAAATTAGAACTAACACTATACCTAGAACTAGAATCATTCGGATTTAGCCGTCTTTAGAGACATGTGGCTAAACCCGAATGATTCTAGTTCTAGGTATAGTATTAGTTCTACCTGTACACTAGTACTGTTACTATGCAGAACTAACACTATATCTAGAACTAGAATCATTTTAGGATCATCGAAAAGATCTTTAGTCATCGAAAAACATTTAACATTTTGAGTTTAATTTACTCCAAATATTTAATAACAACCTTAATATAATTATTTTTTAATCCATACATTTTTAGTGACATGGTTAAAGTAGAAGAAGGCATCGGAGATAAAGTAACAATATTTTTCTTTTTCATCTCAACGTTTATCGCAGGAATAATAACAGCTTTCATTTATGGTTGGTTGTTAACATTAATTTGTTTAATAAATCTTCCGGTTACACTAATTGCGTTAGGAATTGTTGGATGGGTAAGATAATCTTAATCGATTTTATTTCCTTCTTATTCATTATTGCTTTTTTTTTACTTTTTAGTTAACAAATAAATTTGCCAAACAAGAATCAGAATCTTACGCGGCAGCGGGCGCAATCGCCGAAGAAACATTAACAGCCGTTAAAACGGTGTTTGCATTTAGCGGTCAACAAAAAGAAATCGACCGTTATAAAGCCCACTTAATTCATGCCTGTAAAAATAATATCACGAGAGCTTTATGGACAGCTGTGAGTAACGCGTTAATCTTTTTCTTCATGTTCGCTTCGTACGCGTTATCGTTTTGGTACGGGATTACTTTAATCATCGATGAGTTACACCTTGATTTCGAAGATCGCGAGTACACCCCGGGGGTGATGATAACAGTTTTTTTTAACGTCTTAATGAGCTCGTTTACTTTGGGGCAAACGGCGCCTTACATCACGATTTTTGGAGCAGCAACCGGCGCCGCCACCAAAATTTTTAGCATCATCGACAACGCCCCAATTATAAATTTAAACAAAAACAACGGAAATAAGCTAAACAAAATTAAAGGAAACATTAAATTTCGAGGGGTTCATTTCGAGTACCCCTCAAGAAGCGATGTTAAAATTTTAAACGGAGTTGATATTGATATAAATCCCGGACAAACAGTTGCGTTGGTTGGAAGTTCAGGTTGCGGTAAATCAACTTGTATCCAATTAATTCAAAGGTTTTATGACCCAACTCAAGGGATTTTAACGATCGATGGGGTGGATGTTAAAGACTTTGATTTAACTTGGTTTAGGAGTAACGTTGGGGTGGTTGGGCAAGAACCCATCCTTTTCGGGACTACAATCGCCGAAAATATTCGATTTGGAACCGAGGGGATTAAGCAAGAAGATATTGAAAGAGCCGCGAGGAAAGCTAACGCCCACCAATTTATTATGGCCCTCCCACATGGTTATAACACGTTAGTTGGGCAAAGAGGTTCTCAAATGTCAGGGGGGCAAAAACAACGAATTGCGATAGCTAGGGCTTTAGTTAGAAATCCTTCAATTCTTCTTTTAGATGAAGCAACCTCAGCTTTAGACACAAATAGTGAAGCTCAAGTCCAAAGAGCGATTGATGCGGTAAGAACATTAATATAGTAAAACTTTGAAATAAAGAATTAATATGGGAAAGATTGACTGATTTTAGTTCTAGGAAAGACCTAGAACTAAAATCAGTCGTGTTTAGCCGTCTTGATAGACTTGCGGCTAAACCCGAATGATTCTAGTTCTAGATCAAATGTTAGTTGTAATGACTGTGATAGATATAGCGCTAGATAGCATAAGATATCAGTATGTTGCATATTTTTAATGCATTAAAACTAGAACTAACACTAGACCTAGAACTAGAAACATTCGGGTTAGGCCGTGCGTCTTCAGACTATCACTAGCACTATCACTAGAACTAACACAAGACCTAGATCTAGAATCATTCCGGTTTAACCGCCTTGAGAGACGTGCGGCTAAATCAGAATGTTTCTAGGTCTAGTGTTAATTCTAGTTTTAAATGTATTTAGCGTTAGATAATAAAATATATACAGGTTGTTTCTAAATTAATGCGAAAGATTTCAAGGGCTGATTTATCAGCAAAAATTAAGAGATCTCGCCGAGATAGAGCCCTCTAAAGTTAGAGGAAAAATTGTTTTTAATTAATAAATCCACTGTGGAGGAATTTAGAAGAATGAAATTTAACAGATAACTGTTGCTAATGAAATGACACCTTTTGACGATTTTTGTAATCCTAAAATGTTATTACAAGAGGGTGAAAAAATCAACCCCTGCAGTACTTTGCATTAGAACTTTTTAATGCGTCCACATTTTTCTACTTAAAAACGTGATTTAAATAGAGGGATTCAATACGCAACGTTTTTGTCTCTTGACATTTTCTCCTAAAATAATTGTTAGTTTGATCATAAAAAAATAAAATAATACACAGGCTCAAGTAAATTATTTCAGAGATTGGTTATTCTTAGTCAAAGAAATGAAGTTATGTTAAAGTGATCTCAAAAAATCACCAAAAAATCACCTTTGAAATCTTTCACATCAATTTAAAAACACCCTGTATAATATTGTGACGTATTCGTAATCATCATTAAAAATCCTTTAAAATGAGTACAAACACGATACATTTATCTTCAATATTAATGAAGATATGATCAACTTCCGGTTAGAAATGGAAATGTAAAATTTGACATATTTGTGATCTTCATTAAAAATACTTTAAAATGAGTCCAAACATGATACGTTTAACTTCAATATTACCCGAGATATAAGCAACTTCCGGTTTTAGATGTCAATGTCATTTTGACATATTCTTAATATTCATAAACTGTCTTAAAATTTGACACAAAAACGAAAATACAAGAAAAAATCTCAAAGATTAAGGTTGGTATTAATATTTAAAAATTATTTTGCTAACTTCATTGTTGCCAACTTCAGGTTTAATATTTTTTATCTAACTTTTTTGTTTTTCGAGATAAATGCGTCATGTTTGGGCTCATTTTAAAAGTTATTTAATAAAGATTACGAATACATCAAAATTAAAGTTGACATTAATACCATGAAGTTGTCAACCTTTGAACCTTTGGTTTGAAATGTCAACCTCAATTTTGACGTATTTGTAATCGTCATTAAGATTCCTTTGAAATGAGTACCAACACGACATATTTAATTTCAATATTGATGAAGTTGTGGTCAATTTTCGGTTTCAAACGTCAACGTCAATTTTGACATATTCGTAATTTTATAAAAATGTCTTAAAATAGATATAATTTTTCATAAAAAACGAAAATGCAAGAAAAAATCTCAAAAATTAAGCTGGTATTAATATCTAAAAATTGTGTTGCTAACTTCATTGTTGCCAACTTCACGTTTAATATTCGTTATTCTAACTTTTTTGTTTCTTGAGATAAATGCGTCATGTTTGCGCTCATTTTAAAAGTTATTTAATAAAAATTACGAATACACCAAAATTAAAGTTGACATTATCACCATAAAGTTGTCAACTTTGAAATGTCAACCTCAATTTTGACGTATTTATAATCATCATCAAGAATCCTTTGAAATGAGTACCAACACGATACATTTCATTTCAATATTAACGAAGTTATGGTCAATTTCTTGTTTGAAATGTCAACGTCAATTTTGACATATTCGTAATTTTATCAAAATGTCTTAAAATAAATATAATTTTTCATAAAAAACGAAAATACAAGAAAAAGGAATTAATATTTAAAAATTATGTTACTAACTTCATTGTTGCCAACTTCAGTTTTAATATTTTTTATTGTAACTTTTTTGTTTATCGAGATAAATGCGTCATGTTTGGGCTCATTTTAAAGGTTATTTAATAAAGATTACGAATATAATAATAAAATTAAAGTTGCTGAGAGCTGAAATTTTTTTTTCGCCGTGCGTCGAAGCTGTTTCAAAAAACACCAAAATCATTTAATTAATTATTACTCAACACAATTTTTTTATTATTTTTTGTGCCCAAGATGTTCAAAATGATCTAAGAAACACGATGACCACATACAATTCAAATTTGGCAGAAGCAAAAAAAATTACTCAACTGCAAAGAGTAACTCTACTAAATTTTAATTTTTAAAAATTCAATTTTGGCAGTAAAAAAATATTTTATTCGTTATACCGAGATTTTACTATATTATCAGAATTAACCTTAATAAAATTGATTTTAGATCAGAAAAGAATGCACAACAATCATAGTTGCCCATCGATTATCAACGATTAGAAACGCGGATAAAATTGTTGTTTTTCAACATGGGAAGGTGGTCGAAGAAGGTAACCATGAGACCTTAATGAGCTTAAATGGAGTTTATTACAATTTGGTTATAACTCAAATTAACACAAACGACGAAGCTAAAATGAACCGAATTGATCGAACAAATAGCGTTAGAAGCCAAACCTCCGAAAATGAAAGCGAGAATATCGCCAAAATGATCGAAATTGAGGAGGAAATTGAAGAAGATAATAACTCTGGTGTTTGCAAAGCGATTGGGAATTTGTTAAAATTAAATCGCCCCGAATGGTGGCAAATTACAATTGGTGCAATAGCTGCTTTAATCGCTGGGGCTGCTATGCCTGTTTACGCGGTCGTTTTTGGACGGATCATTGGAACCTTAGCTTTGGATGATCCGGAAGCGATTAGATACTACGGAGATCGTTACAGCTTATATTTCCTCCTAATTGGAATCGTGAGCGGGATCACTACGTTTGGGCAATGGTACTTCATCAATATTTCCGGGGAAAAATTAACACGGCGAGTACGAGGGGTGATGTTCGAAGCAGTTCTACGCCAAGAAATTGGTTGGTACGATCGAAAAGAAAACGGAGTTGGAGCAATTTGCACGAAATTATCATCGGATGCTGCCAATATTCAAGGAGCTGCTGGTCACCCAATCATCGTTGTTTTAAATTCATCATCGACACTTATAATAGCAGCTGGTTTATCGATTTATTTCGAATGGAGATTAGCTTTGGTTTCGTTGAGTATCGTTCCAATCATTTTAATAGCAACTTATCTCGAAAGTAAACTCCAAATGGTTACATCAACCGGAAGTAAAAACGCGTTAGAAAGCTCGACAAAAATTGCAGTTGAAGCTGTTGGAAATATTCGAACGGTGGCCTCGTTGGGGTGCGAAGAAACCTTTTACACACTTTACACCACGGAAATGTTACCTTATTATGCCAAAGCTAAAAGAAACGCACACGTAAGAGGCATCATTATGGGGTTATCGAGGAGTTTGATTTATTTCTCTTACATTATCGCATTTTACTATGGTGGGCACTTAATTTTAAACGATGGATTAGCTTTTGAAAACGTTTTTAAGTAAGATTTCTTTGCAAAATAACCATAAAAAGTTAAAATTAACTTTTTAGAGTTGCCGAAGCATTAATTTCAGCTGCGATGAGTGTCGGTGGAATTATGGCTTTCGCACCAAACTTCCAAAAAGGTATTATTGCAGCAAATAAAATGTCTAATTTGGTGGCGAGAGTCCCGGAAATTCAAGATGATGAAAATTCAACCAGTACAGGATGGGTAAGGTTATGTTGTTTCTTAAAAACTTATTAATTATTATTCAGCGCAATTTTTTAAATTTTGTTTTGTTCCTAAGTTGTTGAAAATGACCTAAGAAGCACGATGACTACATACAATACTAATTTGGCAGAAGCAAAAAAAATTACACGACTGCAAAGTGTAACTCTAAATTTGCAATTTTAATTTTTGAACATTTTTTTGCTTCTAAACACACATTTCAATTTTGACAGTGTCAAAAATACTTGGTGCCTTAACTTTTAAATTCATAATTTTAATTTTTTTATTTCTTTTTGTTCCTAAGATGTTCAAAATGACCTAAGGAACACGATGACTACACACAAAAATGAATAAAATAACTAGAGGCGATAATAAACTTACCAAGAAATCATTTTAAAATCGATTTTTGTAGGTTATATCATCAAATGTAGTTTTGGTCAAAAATGAACGCTGTAATAACAAAAAAATCAATGCTACTTTTAGTTTTAACGCACCCGAAGATATTTACCACAAATTCTTTTATCTCAAAGACCAAAAATTGTAAAAATATCACTTTTTATAATTAAAATTTTTTTAACACTTGACAAGTTGTTTGCGCCAACTTCACACTGATGCTGTGACGTGTGACGTAACAAAAATAAGATTATAATAAAAAATTAACGCAAATAAAATTAATATAAAAATAAAATAAAAATAACATTAAAAAATTAAATTAAATCGTAATAAACGAAAATTTAATTTTATTGAATTGATTTATTAATAATTAAAATTTCATTACTTTTATTAATCACTCATAGATGGCGCTCACAACACGTCATATTAATTGTCAAAAATTTTAATTCAATACAAATTTAGTCCTCAGGTCACATTAAATACAACTCAGTTCAATTTACTTATCCAACAAGGCCCAACATCCAAGTACTAAACAGTTTAGATTTGAGTGTATCAGCTGGAAAAACGATTGCTTTAGTTGGACCAAGCGGATGTGGAAAATCAACGATAATCCAATTAATACAAAGATTTTATGACCCATCATCAGGAAGTGTAAACATCGATGAAATAAACATAAGAAACATTAAAATTATGGCTTTAAGATCACACTTAGGGATTGTGTCGCAAGAACCGAATTTGTTCGATAGAACAATAGCTGAAAATATAGCCTATGGGGATAACACAAGATTAATTCCGATGGAAGAAGTAATCCAAGCCGCTAAAAAATCTAATATTCACAGCTTTGTATCATCATTACCGTTGGTATTATAATTAAAATCAATTCACGACGCATTTTTATTTATAATTTTTTTTATTTAGGGATACGATACAAGATTGGGGGATAAAGGGGCCCAATTATCGGGAGGTCAAAAACAAAGGGTCGCAATCGCACGAGCTTTAGTTAGAAACCCACAAATTCTTTTATTGGATGAAGCAACCTCAGCTTTAGACATGGAAAGTGAAAAAATCGTGCAAGAAGCTTTGGACGCCGCTAAAGCAGGCCGAACTTGCATCACAATCGCCCATCGATTAACAACAATCCAAGACGCAGATGTTATTTGCGTTATGGATAAAGGAGATGTTATTGAACAAGGAACGCATGATGAATTATTAAGATTAAGAGGATTATATCACAAATTATATAGTATACAGCAAGGACATTAATTAATTAATTTTTATTTTGTATTAATAAATATAATTTTAAAGCATTATTAAACTTTTTTGATTATTCAAGTAAACCATGAAGTTGTCCATTTGTTTATAATATGATGACCAATTTCAGGTTTTAAATGTCAATCTCAATTGTGACATATTCGTAATCATCATTAAAAATCCTTTAAAATGAGTACAAACACGACACATTTATCTTCAATATTAATGAAGATATGGTCAACTTCCGGTTAAAAATGTAAATGTAAAATTTGACATATTTGTGATCTTCATTAAAAATACTTTAAAATGAGTCCAAACATGATACGTTTAACTTCAATATTACCCGAGATATAAGCAACTTCCGGTTTTAAATGTCAATGTCATTTTGACTTATTCTTAATATTCGTAAATTGTCTTAAAATTTATCACGAAAAACGAAAATAAAAAAAAAACTTGTTGGTATTAATATTTAAAAATTATGCTGCTAACTTCATTCTTGCCAACTTCAGGTTTGATATTTTTTATTCTAACTTTTTTGTTTTTCGAGATAAATGCGTCATGTTTGGGCTCATTTGAAAAGTTATTTAATAAGGATTACAAATACATCAAAATTAAAGTTGACATTAACACCATGAAGTTGTCTACTTTGAAATGTCAACCTCAATTTTGACGTATTTGTAATCATCATTAAGAATCCTTTGAAATGAGTACCAACACGATATATTTCATTTCAATATTAATGAAGTTGTGGTCAATTTCCGGTTTGAAATGTCAACGTCAATTTTGACACATTTGTAATTTTATTAAAATATCTTAAAATAAATATAATTTTTCATAAAAAACGAAAATACAAGAAAAAATCTAAAAAATTCAGGTTGGTATTAATATTTAAACATTATTTTGCTAACTTCATTCTTGCCAACTTCAGGTTTGATATTTTTTATTCTAACTTTTTTGTTTTTCGAGATAAATGCATCATGTTTGGGCTCATTTTAAAGGTTATTTAATAAAGATTACGAATACAATAATAAAATTAAAGCTGACGTTGACACCTGAAAATTTTTTTTTTCGCCGTGCGTCGTAACTGTGTCAAAAAACACCAAAATCATTTTTATTGAATAAAACTAGAACTAACACTAGACCTAGAACTAGAAAGTTTCGGGTTTACCCCAAAGTTAGTTCTAGAACTAACACTAGAACTAGAAACATTTAGCTTTAGGCATCTTCATTCTAGGTCTAGTATTGGTTCTAGTGATAGTGTTAGTATTAAATCACTAAAACCAACACTAAACTAAAGGAGATGTTATAGAACAAGGTACCTGCATAATTAAGATTATATCAAAAATATAATATGATAATTTTAAAGCATTATTATAGTTTTTTGATTATCCATTAAACTTGATGCCTCAAATTACATAATAAAAATCGAAATAGTTTTTAAACGTTTTAAACAATGGGTTTCGGTTCCACATGAGAATGATTGGGCACGTGGTTCTAACCTCTAACATTGCGCAATGTGGCTTTGTGTTCTTTCGATGGCCTATTATTCAAGGTCAAATAATTCGCGTATAGCCCAACGTTTCCACATTAACAGTTTATTTTTATTTAAAGAAAGCAGAAATACAGTTGGCGTTCGCCGCCGGCTTCATTCAGTAAGATTCGTGTCTCGACAGGTTCGTGTCTACATTTTAAATATAATAACCTTTCCTATACGATATACAATACAATTATGAGGTAAGTTAATGTTTGTTTTCTTTGTTCTTATCGGTCGTATTAATTAAAATAGTTTTATTTTGAATCATTAACGTTTAAATACCTTAAAGTAATTGATTTAAATTCTTTGATATCGATGTCTAAAATAACACAATGTTATCAAGAAGAAATGTTTTAATTAAAACAATGTGTTGGTATTTCTGTTTCTCGTGAAATTAATAAAATTTTGAATCAATTTTATTATCTTTTTGGAATTATTAATGATGAAGTTTCAATGTCGAATTCCGGCTTAATAAATCACCGAGTTAATGGAATTGTTTCGGCCGAAATTAAGCTATGTTTAATTACGTAATCATTAATTGAGACATGAGTAAAGAATGTTACCCTATTTAAAAGGTTTTTGAGTCAATTTAGTCAACTAATTGTAATCCAGTTCACCCCAACATATAATCTGACAACAAATCATTAATTAATGAATAAAAATGTGTTAAAAAGTTTGAAAATTTGATAAAATTAAGTAGAGCAGAATTTTTCATCAAGCTGTTATGAACTGAATCGCATTCCTCATCACAATACAGTAACAAATATACAAAGAAAATTATTTATGTCACTTTGTATTCTTCTAAGAACGCAATTTTGAATGAATTTTTACTAATTTCGAGTTAGGCAGAATTTCTGATCAATCTATTATGAAATGTACCTCATTCGTCATCATTTATAGTAACTAATATGGAAAGAAAATGATTTTTGTCACTTTCTATTTCTCTAGAAACCCGATTTTGAATGAATTTGTATTAATTTTGAGTTGAGCAGAATTTCTTAACACAACTATATATATATATGAACTGTATCGCATTTCTCATCATGTATAGTAACAAATTCGGACAGAAATGATGTCTGCTAGATTCTATTTAGTAACAAATATTAAAAGAAAAATACAAGGTGGCGCAATGGAAATTGACGATTTTTGAAACGCCACTGTTTGAATATGAGTAATATGCGGTCGATGCATTTCAATAAATATTGTAACAACCCAAAATTGCTGGATTCATTGAACTGCCTCGGCAGCCAGCGACCTCGGCAAATGTCAAGTCAAGGAATATATGATCTTACTGAGAAAGCAGAGGTCGCTTCGGGCCGAGGCAACCCAATAAATCCATGTCGACAGATACTATAGCACTATTGCCTCGGTTTTGATCTTACTACAGTTAGCCGAGGTTGCTTGCGGCCGAGGCATTTTAATAAATTTAATAACACCCAAAATAAATGAGCATATGCACTAATTTTGAATTTTTAATATGTCAAATTGTCAATATTTAAAGGTTAACGACCTTTACATGACATTTCGCACCAACACACACCTAACCTAACATTCTTTACTTTGAGATTATTAGTATTAAACGAACAAATCTGACTCCGAATAACGAAAAACTGATAATAACGAAAGTACAAAATAATAATTATAACAAGAAAAACATTCTTTACCTTGTAATTGAAGAGGAATTCATAATTTTCACCGGCACAAAATTCAAGCACATTAAAAAGTCAATTTGACGTTTCATTTTTTGTTATGATTTAGAAATAAGAGATGGCGTTTTTGTAATCTGCGATTTCGTAACCTGTCATAAATAATCTGTCAAAAATCGATTTTAATTAATTCTTTTTAATTAAAGTTTTTTAATATGTCAAATTGCCAATATTTAGAGGTTAATGACCTTTGCATGACAATTCGCAACGACGACCACCTAACCTAACATTCTTTACTTTGAGATTATTAGTATTAAACGAACAAATCTGACTCCGAATAACGAAAAACTGATAATAACGAAAGTACAAAATAATAATTATAACAAGAAAAACGTTCTTTACCTTGTAATTGAAGAGGAATTCATGATTTTCACCGACACAAAACTCAAGCACATTAAAAAGTCAATTTGACGTTGTATCTTATGTTGTGATTTAAAAATAAGAGATGGCGTTTTAGTAATCTACGATTTCGTAACCTGTCATAAATAATCTGTCAAAAATCGATTTTAATTAATTTTTTTTTATTAAAGTTTTTTAATATGTCAAATTGTCAATATTTAAAGGTTAACGACCTTTGCATGACATTTCGCACCAACACACACCTAACCTAACATTCTTTACTTTGAGATTATTAGTATTAAACGAACAAATCTGACTCCGAATAACGAAAAACTGATAATAACGAAAGTACAAAATAATAATTATAACAAGAAAAACATTCTTTACCTTGCAATTGAAGAAGAATTCATGATTTTCATCGGCACAAAACTCAAGCACATTAAAAAGTCAATTTGACGTTTCCGACGTTTCATCTTTTGTTTTGATTTAGAAATAAGAGATGGCGTTTTTGTAATCTGCAATTTCGTAACCTGTCATAAATAATCTGTCAAAGATCGATTTTAATTAATTCTTTTTTATTAAAGTTTTTTAATTTAACTTTTAACCTTTATATTGAGTCATATAACCATTGTTAATCTTATGTTAATATGTTTTATTGGATCTTTAATGTAATCAAACAAAACAAAGTACCATGCTTAATTATTTTTTTTAACTCAAAACAGACAATTTCTTTCTTATCATTTACACAATGAAATGAAATACTTTGATAGCCCCAATAAAAACTAAAATTTTTCAAGATTGTTTATACAATTTATCTCCTTTTATTATCAGTCGGTTATAAGTGGAAGAGATACGTTAAAATTATACAGTATCACTTCTGGTGTGTGAGGTGTTGAAATGTTTTCGCAAAAATTATAATAAATAATAATATTTAAAAAAAATTAATTATTAAAATTATGGCGGAAAATGAAAAAATAATTTTTAAAAATGGTTGTAAAGAAATAAATAAAAATAATAAATACGGTGTTATTTCAGACGATTTATTATTAGACGCGTAAGTTTTAATCGTAAAACGAAAATAAATCAAAAATTGTATTAAAAAGTGAATATAAAAAATGTTTATAGGAAATATAACAAAAAAGATGAAGAAACCGACCCGGATGTGTTGGAAAAACTCGCCGAGGAACAACAAAAACCCGAAATCAAACAAATTTCTTATTTCACTTTGGTAAGTTTGAATAAAATTGGTAACTTTGCGACTAATTCGAAATTTAGTATAGATATTCAACACCTCTCGATAAAATCTTCATTCTAATAGCGATAATATGTTCGTTGATAGCCGGAGTAGGAACCCCGGTTATGATGATATTATTCGGAGATGTAACCGGAGATATAATCTTATATGCGACGCAATTATACGATGAATCCTTATCGGACCAAGCTATATTAGATGCCAAAGACGGACTTAAAAGCGCAGTATTGTATATGTTAATAGCTTCGTGCATTCTTGGTGCGGCCACTGTGAGTTTGACCTATATTTCGACTTTATTGTTTAGTTGGGCTTGCACCAATCAAGTAAGTTGAAATATTTTATTAGAAATAATACAAATTAGGTATTAAATTAAATAAAAAGCTTGGAAGATTAAGTTAATCTATCAAGATTATGATTGAATTATCTTATTGTCTATTGTGGATTGTTGTCACTTATCTTTAATCTGATTAAAATTTCTACGTTTAATCGGGAAATCCGGGATTGCAATTATCATTTACTAATTCATCTTTAACAATTTATGAATTGATTAAATTTGGTGTTAAATTGAAAATAAATTCAATCAAAGTCTATAAATTGTACTTACAAGGTTAAGAAATGAATCAAAATTTTATTTTGAACTAGTTTCGTTGTTGAACTACATCATCATCAGGAAATATTAAATTAATATATCCACTCAAAAATGGCCACGATATTGTATGTAGTTAAATAGGCGAAGTCATAAATATTCAGCTTTAAGTTTTGCTTAGGTTGCCAGTACAAGGTCAATACAGTACAAAATACGCCAAAAATGTTTTCAGAAAACATGACACCAATTCAGATATTCTCTGATAGAGATATTTCTGTAAAATTACTGATAAAACAATTTCTGAAGTAAGAGAAGATTATGCAAAAGCCTAAAATACTGTTTCAAAATCTTAGAAAAGGTGTTTGCAGAAAGAACAGAAGACTGTAAATGAAATTTTTGCGAAAATAAAGAAGAATACTGACGCAGAAGATTCTGGAAAAAAGACAGTAAGAATACTAAGAGAAGTGTTTGTAGAAAAGATAACACTGAAAAAAATTTGAGAAAAAAGAACACTAAGAAAGAAGTTCCTGCAGAAATAAGGACGACCATTGACAGAACAACATTGAAACAACATTGTCACTGAAAATTAAGTTTGTGTAAAACTTTGAAAAAGAGAATATTTCTGGAAAAGCAGATTTTGTGCAGAAGGAAAAACATTAACAGAACTTTCTGCAAAATATAAAACATTAACAGAAAGATTTTTGTAGGAAGAGAGGACCAATACTGATACAGAAGTTCTTGCAAAACGGCCAGAATACTGGCACTGATCGCGATATATCATGACCAAATGAACGATATCAACATAAAATCATCAAAACTGACGTTTTTGTGAGGATAAATAATTTCTTATTCAAGGTTGCACGCTTAATTCTCTTTCCAAGTCGTCAAATGAACGATATCATCTACAATCGCCGAGGTTGCTTGCGGGCGAGGTGGTATATTTGATATATTAACTCAAAATCGTCAATTTTGATGATTTTATCGCCTCGCCCGCAAGCAACCTCGGCGAAGTGAGGACAAACAATTTCTTATTCAAGTTTTGTATGTTTAGTTCACTTTTCAATGAACAATATCATCTAAAATCGCCGAGGTCGCTTGCGGGCGAGGCGCAGTATATGATATATCAACTCAAAATCGGCAGTTTTGATGATTTTAGTGCCTCGCCCGCAAGCAACCTCGGCGAAGTGAGGACAAACAATTTCTTATTCAAGTTTTGTATGTTTAGTTCACTTTTCAATGAACGATATCATCTAAAATCGCCGAGGTCGCTTGCGGGCGAGGCGCAGTATATGATATATCAACTCAAAATCGGCAGTTTTGATGATTTTAGTGCCTCGCCCGCAAGCAACCTCGGCGAAGTGAGGACAAACAATTTCTTATTCAAGTTTTGTATGTTTAGTTCACTTTTCAATGAACGATATCATCTAAAATCGCCGAGGTCGCTTGCGGGCGAGGCGCAGTATATGATATATCAACTCAAAATCGGCAGTTTTGATGATTTTAGTGCCTCGCCCGCAAGCAACCTCGGCGAAGTGAGGACAAACAATTTCTTATTCAAGTTTTGTATGTTTAGTTCACTTTTCAATGAACGATATCATCTAAAATCGCCGAGGTCGCTTGCGGGCGAGGCGCAGTATATGATATATCAACTCAAAATCGGCAGTTTTGATGATTTTAGTGCCTCGCCCGCAAGCAACCTCGGCGAAGTGAGGACAAACAATTTCTTATTCAAGTTTTGTATGTTTAGTTCACTTTTCAATGAACGATATCATCTAAAATCGCCGAGGTCGCTTGCGGGCGAGGCGCAGTATATGATATATCAACTCAAAATCGGCAGTTTTGATGATTTTAGTGCCTCGCCCGCAAGCAACCTCGGCGAAGTGAGGACAAACAATTTCTTATTCAAGTTTTGTATGTTTAGTTCACTTTTCAATGAACGATATCATCTAAAATCGCCGAGGTCGCTTGCGGGCGAGGCGCAGTATATGATATATCAACTCAAAATCGGCAGTTTTGATGATTTTAGTGCCTCGCCCGCAAGCAACCTCGGCGAAGTGAGGACAAACAATTTCTTATTCAAGTTTTGTATGTTTAGTTCACTTTTCAATGAACGATATCATCTAAAATCGCCGAGGTCGCTTGCGGGCGAGGCGCAGTATATGATATATCAACTCAAAATCGGCAGTTTTGATGATTTTAGTGCCTCGCCCGCAAGCGACCTCGGCGAAGTGAAGATAAACAAATTCTTATTCAAGTGTTGTACGTTTAATTTTCTTTCCAAGACGTCAAATGAACAATATCATCTAAAATCGGCGAGGTCGCTTGCGGGCGAGGCGCTAGATTTGATGGCAGAACAAGAAAAACTCTTTTGGCACAACCATAATAGAATCTATAAAACGTCAACAATGACATATGTAGAAGTATGCCCAAAAACATAGGCGTTTTTGGGACTTATAAAAAATTCTTATAGCAGTTTATGACACTAATATAAAGTAATGTTATAAAAATTTTTGTAAAAAGACAAGAACACCAATTTAACTTTTGATATATTCTCCTGATGATGATGTAATACAACCGAAACCGGTTAAAATTAATAAAATTTTAAACTCTACACCAAATAATTTTTAGATAGCAAAAATTCGAGAAAATTACATGAAAAGTGTCTTAAATCAAGATATATCATGGTACGACATCAACCGAGTGGGAGATTTTTCAAGTCGAATAACCGAGTAGGTACACTGTGTTAATTAATTATCGCACCCGACGTCAAGTATGCAACCAATATCACAGTATTCGTATTGCAATACGCAAATCGCGTTATTGGTTGCATACTTGCAATGATGACGTCGAGTACGATAATTAATTAACACACTGTAAGTTTAACCCAAATGAATTAAATTAATTGAAATAATTTTTAGTGATTTACTCAAAGTAGAGGAAGGAATCGGCGATAAAGCAACAACGTTCGCATTTTTCGTCAGCACCTTCATCTCCGGATTAATAATCGCGTTCATTTACGGCTGGGAATTAACCCTAATCTGTTTAATTAATTTCCCCGTAAACGCGGCCGCTTTAAGTTTCGTCGCTTGGTTAACGAGCAAATTCTCTCAAAAAGAAACCGATTCGTACGCATCTGCGGGTGCAGTCGCCGAGGAAGTTTTAAGCGCCATAAAAACCGTATTCGCTTTTGGTGGGGAACAAAAAGAAATCGACCGATACAAGAAATTCCTAACAGTAGCCTGTAAAAATAATACGAAAAGAGCCGTTTTAACCGCCCTAAGCAACGCTATTATGTATTTTTTGATGTTCGCCTCGTACGCTTTAAGTTTTTGGTACGGGATTAAATTGATAATCGATGAAAGGGAATTAGATGAGAAAGAACAAACTTACACACCTGGGACGATGATTACGGTGTTTTTTTGCGTGTTAATGAGCAGTTTTACTTTGACGATGTCAGCGCCGTATTTTCAAGTTTTTGGCACAGCGAAAGGGGCGGCCACTAATATATTTAACGTGATTGATCACGACCCCACTATTAATTTGTCGAAGAAAAAGGGGAAACGATTAAACAATTTTAAGGGGTTAATCAAGTTCGAGAAGGTCGACTTTTTTTATCCCGCGAGAAAAGATGTCCAAGTCCTTCACAAAATCGATTTGGAAATAAACCCAGGCGAAACGATCGCGTTAGTTGGCACATCAGGTTGTGGAAAATCAACTTGCGTCCAATTGCTTCAAAGATTTTATGACCCAACCTCAGGGAGGTTATTAATTGATGGGGTTGACGTCGCCGAGTTTGACTTGGAGTGGTTTAGGGGCCAAATTGGAGTCGTCGGGCAAGAACCGATTCTTTTCGCGACGAGCATCGGGGAAAATATTCGATTTGGAAATATGAAAGCGAGCAAAGAAGATGTTGAAAAAGCTGCGAAACGAGCTAACGCCCACAAATTTATTTCAACCCTTCCCGATGGTTATGACACGCTAGTTGGGCAAAGGGGGTCGCAATTATCCGGCGGGCAAAAACAAAGAATCGCCATCGCCAGGGCTTTAGTTAGGGAGCCCAAAATTTTGTTGTTAGACGAAGCAACTTCAGCTTTAGACACTGAGAGTGAAGCCCAAGTCCAAAGAGCGATTGATGCGGTAAGAAAATTAATTAATTAACTTCAAAATAACATGGGGTGTTCCATTTAAAATTTTCGACTTTTTTGCAATTAAATTTGGTAAAACAGTAATTTTTGGACACCCTGTATAAAATATACCGATGTAGCCAATGGCACTCTATTTAAGGATGTTCAAGCAGCAAGTGTCACAAATTTTAACTTTGTGGCTCGATCACTCGCTAAGAAATTCAGATTTAAAGAAAACAGTAATAATTGCTAAAAAAGCTTCTAATTAAAATAATTCAAAAACTAAAAGCGGTAAGTATCAAGATATCTTATCAAAATCAACAGTGTAACGCAGTAAAAACTATATCATTCCATTTAAAATAATTTTTCGTTTATTTCGGTACGTTGTTATAGAACACCCTGTATGTATAAAAATAGCAATTATTATTCAATATTAATGAAAATTTGACATATTTATGATGTTCATTAAAAATACTTTAAAATGAGTCCAAACATAATACGTGTAACTTCAATATTACCCGAGATATAAGCAACTTCCGGTTTTAAATGTCAATGTCATTTTATCATATTCTTAATATTCATAAACTGTCTTAAAATTTATCACAAAAAACGAAAATATAAGAAAAAAACTTAAAAATTAATGTTGGTATTAACATTTAAGAATGATTTTGCTAACTTCAAAATTAAAGTTGACATTAACACCATGAAGTTGTCAACTTTGAAATGTCAACCTCAATTTTGACGTATTTGTAATCGTCATTAAGAATCCTTTGAAATGAGTACCAGCACGACATATTTCAATTCAATATTAATGAAGTTATGGTCAATTTCCGGTTTGAAATGTCAACGTCAATTTTGACATATTCGTAATTTTATCAAAATGTCTTAAAATAAATATAATTTTTCATAAAAAACGAAAATACAAAAAAAAAACAAAAATTAAGGTTGGTATTGATATTTAAAAATTATGTTGCTAACTTTATTGTTGCCAACTTCAGGTTTAATATTTTTTATTTCAACTTTTTTGTTTTTCGAGTTAAATGCGTCATGTTTGGGCTCATTTTAAAGGTTATTTAATAAGGATTACGAATATATCAACATTAAAGTTGACATTAACACCATGAAGTTGTCAACTTTGAAATGTCAACCTCAATTTTGACGTATTTGTAATCGTCATTAAGAATCCTTTGAGATGAGTACCAACACGACAATATTAATGAAGTTGTGGTCAATTTCCGGTTTGAAATGTCAACGTCAATTTTGACATATTCGTAATTTTATCAAAATGTCTTAAAACAAAGATAATTTTTTCTAAGAAACGAAAATACAAGAAAAAATCTCAAAAATTAAGGTTGGTATTAATATTTAAAAATTATGTTGCTAACTTAATTGTTGCCAACTTCAGGTTTAATATTTTTCATTCTAACTTTTTTGTTTTTCGAGATAAATACGTCATGTTTGGGCTCATTTTAAAGGTTATTTAATAAAGATTACGAATATAATAATAAAATTAAAGTTGAGGTTGACGTGACACCTGAAAGTTTTTTTTAGCTGAAACTGAAAGTTTTTTAATTAATTAATTTTTTTAGATCAGCAAAGAATGCACAACGATAATCGTGGCTCATCGATTATCGACGATTCGAAACGCGAATAAAATCGTGGTTTTCTCCGAAGGAAAAATCGTCGAAATCGGGGACCACGACAACTTAATGAACCTAAACGGGTTTTATTACAACTTAGTCCGCAACCAAATTTCGATCGATAACAAGGAAAATTTGGGGGAATCGACTTATGCCAACGAAAAAGATATCGAAGAAGTCGTCGAAGAAAAAATCGAAAAATCCCCCGAATCAAATGATGCCCAAATTAACAATAAATTCTCCGCGATTCTCGCCGTTCTTGCTCTAAATAAACCCGAACGTTGGTTCTTATTTTTCGGAGGAATCGCCGCGTTAATTTCGGGTGCTGCAATGCCGATTTACGCGATCGTTTTCGGAGATGTTCTTATGGTCCTCTCGAACGATGATAACGAGTACGTTCGAACCGAAGGAAATAAATACAGCCTATACTTTTTAATAATCGGAATCGTTTCCGGGTTATCCACATTTTTCCAATGGTACCTAATCGGAGTTGCGGGCGAAAAATTAACCCGGAGAGTTCGCGCTTTAATGTTTGAATGCGTGTTACGACAAGAAGTGGGATGGTACGATCGTAAAGAAAACGCGGTTGGGGCGATTTGTGCTAAATTATCTTCGGATGGCGCGAATATCCAAGGTGCTTCGGGTCACCCGGTTATAATCGTGCTAAATTCATTGTCGAATTTGTTGATTGCCGCGGGGATTTCGTTGTATTATGATTGGAGGTTAGCGTTGGTTGCGTTATCTTTCGTGCCGTTGGTGGTTATTGGGACTTATTTGGAGCAAGCGATTGCGCAGAAAGGAACGTATGGGAATAAAAGCGCCATCGAACAATCTACTAAGGTAATTTTGGTTCTTAACTACTTTGATGGTGGATTCTAGAGTGAACGTCGCGCCTTTGTTTCTTTATGTAGGTAAAATAAAGGCGCGACGTCCGGTCTGGCACATCACCCCCGCATCAGCTTTTCTTGTAGTTTTAATAGTAGTATTAATTAAAACAAATTTTAGATCGCTGTTGATGCAGTTTCAAACATTCGAACAGTAGCTGCTTTAGGTTGCGAAGAAATCTTCCAAGAACTCTACAACAAAGAAATCGCCCCGCATTATTTAAAATCAAGGCAAAGTGCCCATATCCGCGGGGTTGTTCTTGGGTTATCTCGGAGTTTAATGTTTTTCGCTTATGGTGTCGCTTTTTATTATGGTGGGGTATTAATCGTTGATGAATATCTAGATTTCTCCAAAGTCTTTAAGTAAATCAAAGTCCCAACATAAAATTAATTAATATAATTTAATAACGATTTGTTTTAGAATTTCCGAGGCTTTAATTTCAGCAGCTTGGACAATAGGGAGTATAATAGCTTTTGCCCCAAATTTCCAAAAAGCTATAATCGCGGCGAATCGAATGGCTTTATTAACAAATCGCAAACCGGAAATAACCGACGAAAAAGCGACGTACGATTTTTGGAAATCGAGTAAAATCGTGTACGATAAAGTCGACTTTGCGTACCCCACCAGAAAAAATCTCCAAGTTTTGCACTCTTTTGATATAGACATAAAAGAAGGGACTACGGTCGCTTTGGTTGGGCCGAGCGGGTGTGGAAAATCGACGATTATCCAACAGCTCCAAAGGTTTTACGACCCAATCTCGGGGCATATTCGTATCGATTCGATCGAGTTGAATCAGATAAAAATTAGAGCGCTTAGATCGAAAATTGGGATCGTTTCTCAAGAGCCGAATTTGTTTGATCGATCGATCGGGGAAAATATAGCGTATGGGGATAATAATAGGTTGGTTCCTATGGAGGAGATTATCGAGGCTGCGAAAAAAGCGAATATTCATAATTTTATTGCTTCGTTGCCGTTGGGCTATTCTACAAATTTAGGGAGTAAAGGGACCCAACTTTCCGGGGGGCAAAAACAACGGATTGCGATCGCTAGGGCATTAATTCGAAATCCGAATATTTTGTTGTTGGATGAAGCTACGTCCGCTTTGGATAGCGAAAGCGAAAAGGTAAGAAAAAATCCTTTAAAATGAGCCCAAACTCGACTAGTTTCATTTTTAATTGTCAAAAATCCAAAAAAAAATTGACAGAACAGCTGGAAGTCAAAAATAATTTGATTTTTAATTAAGGAATTAAGAATGCTTTGAAATGAGCCCAAACTCGACTAGTTCACTTTTAAATGTCAAAAATAAAAAAAAATTTTGACGTTGACAACCGGAAATCAAAAATAATTTGATTTTTAATTAAGAAATTAAAAATGCTTTAAAATGAGCCCAAACATTTCCTGAATATATTTTTTAATTATCCAAAAGCAAAGAAAAAAATATGACGTTAACAACCGGAAGTACGAAATTTTCTTTTTCACGATTATGGGTTCAATCTTCTTCTAGGAAATTAAAAATTCTTTAAAATGAATCCAAACACGACAAGGTTATTTTAAAAAATGACTGAGATATAACCAAAAATAACTTAATTAAAAAAAAAATAATTGACGATCGGTGTTTCTTTAAAACATCACATCTTTCTTGTTTTTAAAGATAACCCCACCGTGTTTGGGCTTAAATTAAAAGATTTTTTATGAATATTATAAGAGAAATGAATCTGGAAAAATTAAAATATAATAAATTTGACGTTGACAACCGGAAGTGACTAATATTTTGTTTTTGAAGATTTTTGATTAGATCTTCAAATAGGAAATGAAAAATCCTTTAAAAGGAGTCCAAACACGACTAGATTACGTTAAAAAGTAACCGAGATATAACTAAAATTAAAAAAAAAAAAAATCGAAGATCGATTTTTTTACAACACCATATCTCCGTTGTTTTTAAAGATAACATTATTGTGTTTGGGTTCATTTTAAAGGATTTTTAACGAATAACATAAAAAAGGACGAATCAAAGTAAAAAACGGAAGTCGTCACTTGGAACTTGTCAACCGGAAGTACTCATATCTTCGAAATTTTTCACATCACAACGATTAAAAAATCATATTTCTATTATTTTTGGAGATAATTTAAAAAAATGTTCTAAAATAACATTTGAAAATAACAACCGGAAGTGACTAAAATTTTTTTTGACAATTTTTGATTATATCTTCATGTTGGGAATGAAAAATCCCCGAAAATGAGTCCAAACACGACTTAATTATTTTAAAAAATAACCGAGATACCACCAAAATTAACATAAATTTAAAAAAAAACAATCGACGATCGTTGTTTTTTAAAACGCCATATCTTTCTTGTTTTTAAAGATAACCACACCGTGTTTGGGCTTAAATTAAAAGATTTTTTATGAATATTATAAGAGAAATGAATCTGGAAAAATTAAAATATAATAAATTTGACGTTGACAACCGGAAGTGACTAATATTTTGTTTTTGAAGATTTTTGATTAGATCTTCAAATAGGAAATGAAAAATCCTTTAAAAGGAGTCCAAACACGACTAGATTACGTTAAAAAGTAACCGAGATATAACTAAAATTAAAAAAAAAAAAAATCGAAGATCGATTTTTTTACAACACCATATCTCCGTTGTTTTTAAAGATAACATTATTGTGTTTGGGTTCATTTTAAAGGATTTTTAACGAATAACATAAAAAAGGACGAATCAAAGTAAAAAACGGAAGTCGTCACTTGGAACTTGTCAACCGGAAGTACTCATATCTTCGAAATTTTTCACATCACAACGATTAAAAAATCATATTTCTATTATTTTTGGAGATAATTTAAAAAAATGTTCTAAAATAACATTTGAAAATAACAACCGGAAGTGACTAAAATTTTTTTTGACAATTTTTGATTATATCTTCATGTTGGGAATGAAAAATCCTCGAAAATGAGTCCAAACACGACTTAATTATTTTAAAAAATAACCGAGATACCACCAAAATTAACATAAATTAAAAAAAAACAATTGACGATCGTTGTTTTTTAAAACGCCATATCTCCCTTGTTTTTAAAGATAACCCCATTGTGTTTGGACTCATTTTAAAGGATTCTTAATAAAGATTATGAAAATAAATAAATCAAGATGAAAAGTGGAAATTGTTATTGATACGATTGATTCTATGCCTTTCTAAGTGAGTTATTTCTTACAGGTTGTGCAAGAAGCATTAGATAGTGCAAGAGAAGGAAGAACTTGCATCGTTATCGCTCATAGATTAACAACAATCCAAGATGCAGATGTTATTTGTGTTATGGATAAAGGAAAAGTAATCGAAAAAGGAACCCACGAAGAATTATTACAATTAAGAGGATTATATCACAAATTATACAGCATACAACAAGGATCTACGTAATAATAAAAAATATTACTTAAAAGAAATGACCTCGTTTACCATAAAAGTATTTATTTTTTTTCAATTTCACCATTTGTACTTAATATTGTAACTATTTTAGGAAGAATTTAACAATATAGTTAATATTATTTTCAACCAATTTGAATAACAACTTATTTTTCGTAACTAAACTCCAAAAAACGTTATTTATTTTATTTTCTGTACAATTCGTACCGAATTTACTTTTACGGATTACAAAAATAAACGCGTTTCTCATCGAATTCAACTAAATAACGTTCGTTTAAACAGGCACGTGTGAAAAGTTACTCGTCAATCATTCAAAAAATCTACACACAACGAACTTTCAATCATAATAAATTATTATTATTGCATAAATCGAGGAAAATAAGCGAACAATAATAAACGTATTGAGAAAAAAGCGTTTTGTTATCGGTTACGGAGCGAAATTTGGCCGCGAATTCATTTATTTCTTTTTATTTGGAGATGTTATTTCGGTCGCGAAAAGGAAAAATGGGTCAGGTGAAATGTCTGTGGGCCAAGTTGGCATAAAACGGTTGTTTTTCGAGACGACTACGAATTTTATTTGAGCCAAAAAAAATTTTTTACGCCAGACGAGGAATTTATCTACTATCGTCAATCGACGGATTTGCAATTTCCGGTTTCCGTTATGTTTATTTTTTCTTTTTGCATGATTCGCATACCTGATTCATTCAATTTAGGAATTTTTTCTTTCTTTTTTTTTTAATTCAAAATATTGTTTTTGGACACATCATAACCCAGCGTTATTAGCACATTTGATATATTATGACCTGTCATTGGCCTGATATTGGCCATTTCGTGATTAGATATACCACGAAATAGTGTTTCCGACATTTCAAATATCAAGAAGTACTGTTTTTGACATTTGACATATCATCATCCAATATTGTTAGCAAAATAAACTAGCATTTCTGACATTTTATATATCATAAACTAATGTCATTGGCCATTTGGACTTTTGATGCTACGAAATAGAATTTTTGACATTTGAAATTCCAAGAACCACCTTTTTTGACACTTCACACATCATAACCTGGTGTTGTTAGCAATTTGAATAGTTGATATACCATGAACCACTATTTTTGACATTATTCTATGACGTTTGACATATCATAAATGAATTGTCTACACTTTAGACATTTTTTGCTTTATTTTTACAAACTCAAAAACATCTAGAAAGTTTTGGCACTACATTACCATAACACCTAGCCAAATTCTTGTACGATTCTAACAATAAAACGTACTCAAAACCAATTTATTTACCTACAATTTGTGCCCCAACCACATTGTTGCTTAAGTTACCTATATTTAGTTTCGAAATCCAGGCAGATATTTTCTAGACATTTCCGGCTTTATGTTTCGCACGGATATTTCTTTAATTCTAAATCTATTTCAATCCTTTTCAAACATTGACTATATTCAATGATTGTTTAAAAAAATAATTGTGTCAATAACATTCTTGAAGTAATAAAAATTGACGTTTAATATTTGACGTTTAAAATCAACGCTACCAACTTTTCGAAAATAAAATTATGTCAAATTATTTTTATGAAAAAAAAAAGTATTTTAAATAAAAATTATTTATCGAAACCGCAATTGATAAGAAAAAAACTTTAAGTATTTTAACTAAACCTAAAAAAATGCGTTTTAAATAAGCAACATTGCACAAAGCACTCAATAATAAGTTTAAACAATTAACTTTTTGTTCAACAATCACGTTTATTATTGTTCCCCTTATTTTTTATTCGTTAAAAATGTAAAAATTAACCTTGAATCTAATCCCAATTTAAAAATAAAATAAAACAAATCACTTCCTTTCGCATTTTGATTACTTACAACATTTTTTAACGTCACTCAATTTGCAACTAAACACATTTTAATCAATTTCAAACACTTTCTTAGATTAAAAAAATTAAAAGAGATTTTTACGAGACACTTTTTATAGGCCGTTTCGATAAGAACACCCACAACCACTTCTCTACTTACTTACCTCTCCGAGCTGGGCTATAACAACATAAATTAAAGTTTATCACAAAACCGGTAAAACACAACGCGATGAAACAGAACGTAAAAATGCCGCGCATTCGGACGCGAAGCCGTCACAACAAGAACTAAACTAAATTTGCGTATCGACGTCCGTCGACGTCGTTGTACTTCGCGAATATATTCAAAAACTCACCGCTTTCAACCGACAACAGTGATATTAGCTACTAAAGCCCCCTCTTTTTAAAGAATAAAACGCATTTTTTTATAATAATAACAAATTTAGTTTGTTCAATAAATTGCGAATTAAAATAGAATCAAAAGTTAGCCAAAATATGATTGCGTCACGCAAAAAAGCCATAAAAATAGGATAATATCGTCCTACTTGTTTAATCTATTTTTATATTAACCAGCTTGACACTTTTTGAGGTTATTTCACAAAATTTTGAGGTTATGTTACATTATAACCTCTTTTTTGCTTTTTTCGTTTGATTCATTCAAATATTTACGTTATTCCCGCAATAATGTATTAATAATCGTACCTTAAATTTGAAGAGCCAACTGGCAACGATTTTTATTGTTCTTAAATTGGGCCCCAATTGTTGATGTTTTCGATAATATCGTTTGGAATTTCAGTATTTTCTTTCTAAACATAGAAACATAGTGTGTTAACAACATTATTTTATCAAAATTGTATCAACTTACGTTTTAAATTCACTTAAAGGAGATAATAAACACAATAAACATAACCTAAAAGATAAAGCGTTCAAATTTGAAATAATTTTTAGGTTGGTCAACATGAAATAATAAAATATAAAAAAATGTTATAATAAAATAAATTAATCATAGGAAATTATTATTATGAAGAAATTGTTTATTTTATAAACTTTTTTTTTATTATAAACTTATTATAATCTGATAAAACGATATTTTCGATATCGAATCATTAAAAAAAAATTGTGGGTTGGTAACTTGAAATGACAATTAAAGTTTAACCAAAAATATTTCAAATATTTTAGAGAAATAACGCATTTTAGAATTATTTTTCGATATTGAGAGATTTGATGAATATATATTAATAAATCATTATCTCTTCATAACCACAAAACCGACAAAAAAAGCAACAAGGTTGAGGTTATGTTATGGTCTGTCAAATGTGAACCATAAATAATAATTTCATTAATAAACTCTTTTTTTAGGAAAACCACATAGGAAATTCAACTTTTAATAAACACAACTTATCGACTAAATAAACTGGGAATTTTGCATATAAATATCTATACAAATAAAGAAACATACTACAAAAACAAATTAAACGATTTTAAACAGGCATAGTAACCTCGAGATCATAAGGCAATGTTGATTTACTCTTTAAAACGGTTGCGATACTAACCAAAAAATCTTTATAAATCAGCGGATTTAAATTTTTACCTAATTGATACAAAAAGAAATAATCACCAAAAGAAACCTTGCTGGTTATAACATTCGCGTTTTTTCTTGATAGAAATTTAGTGTGGGCCATCAATAAATACATCCTAACTTTCGGTGAAAGAATCACAATGACTCTATAAATCATCTCATAAAAACTAATAATCGCAAGCACCAAAAACCAAACCCACAGTATCAAAAACAGCTTTTCATTAACAATGTTTAATGGGAGAACACACAGAGCATCGTCTCTTTGTACACCCCCAGATGGGCCATAATTATAATATGTACACTTTGTTACTTTAGGAAAAACTCGAGTCATTGGGTTCTCTCCATTGTAAAGTGCCAAAGCTATGCCGTAACTGGTGAATTGACCGCTTAAAAACCAATCCATAAACATAATTTGACAAACTACATTAATAAAATTTAATAATTCGCAAAAAGCGAATCTTAATGCGTAAAGATTGTGGGAGTAATTTCCGCTTAACACATAATTAACCAAGCGTTCTTTCGCCTCTTTATTCCAACAATTCGGGATTAAAGGCCCCCCTAAATCTTTAGCTAACAAACGTAATCGTCCACCTTCCCAATTTTTCCATAAATATCTCGGGATGTAAAATAATAACGCTTGGAAACAAAAAACAATGCAGACCCATTGATAATATTTTTGTGTTATTATTTCATCAGATGAATCTTGAAGCGTATCACTTAATAATCGGGGATCAGGTCCCAAACCACTCAAAATATTCTCTAAATCATTAAAAAAAAGAACATCAAAACAGCACATTTGAACCAAAAATAGTTACCTTTTAACGTTTTCTTTATTGTAAAGGTCCCATAAATCCAACAATACGTTTCAATAACTTCGGAGTGCTTCGCCTTCACCTCACAATCGATTGGGTCCCCAAAATATTGTTTGGAGGTTAATAAAATCGAAAAAACTATCAACATAATCACCGTAAACTTGTAATGCAACTTGAAAATATTATTATCGGTGTGGATTTGTTCGACTTTTATCAGCGATTTGAATGAATTCAAAAAGTCCATCATGTTGGGATTAAATTAAAATAATCGGTTACGATGGGAAACGTTAAAGATGATTGAAAAACTAGTTTTTAAGTAAAAAATGATTTTGACGTTTTAAACTTTATAAGTGATACCAACATAAAATTAAGTCACTAAATTATTAAAAAAATTTAATTTAATTGAATAATTTTATTAATTCCGATACAACTTTAATATTAACGCTATTTCCAATTAAATTAAAACATTGTTTATCGGTGATTTCATCGGGAAAATTAAAATTTTCCGGGAAACACATTAACCTCAAAACTTCCCTTGGTGTAAAATATCTTAAATTTAATTTCATCAAACATTCTAATTTTGAATTAAAATCATCATAATTTTTTGATTCTTTATAAATCTGGTCAAATTCGTTTTTGGTTTTATCACAATAAACACTTCCGGTACCTTCGATGTATCTTCCGTAAGCTTTGGTAAAACAGCAACTTCTAAACGATTCGTTAAAACAAACGTCCAAAATGTTAGTCTTTTTTAAAAGGATATCGTCGGATAAAAAATATTTTACATCAACGTTATTTTCGATTATATCACCAATTTTAAATGAAGCGTTTTCGTTAAATATCAAACTAGTTTCAAATTGAAATGTTTTTGGTTCTTTAACAGCTACGCAATAATATCTATGTCTAGTATTTGGAACCCCAAATTGATGAGGACTCAAAATGTATTCTTGGTATTGATAATTTTCATCGTTTAAGGTTTTTATTAAAATTTCCCTCATTTCTGATGTTTCGAATCCTTTAACGTTTTCGATGAGTATGTTTTTAATGTTTAATTGAGGGATAAGTCCCAAAACGTGCATAAACGAATCCGTTCTTGGATCTTTTACATCTTTTTTTAATCCGTTTCTCGTGAACGGCTGGCAAGGTGGAGACATTAAAATTGTATCAACTTCCAATTTATTAATAAATTGGGCTGAAAGTCCTTGAATATTTCTGTTTAAAAGGTTCGTTGTTGGAAAATTGTGTTTATAAACAACATTTGCCACAGTGTTTATATCGATTGAGGTTATAATTTCACCTGAGACATTACTGGCTGAAAAATACGGTTTTAAGATAATTATTGGGGTTAAATAATTCACTAATACCTTTTAAACCTAAATGCATCCCTCCTATTCCGCTATAAAGTTCTAAAACTTTCATTTTTGACGGTTTTATTTTTGAGGTTAAGTTTGACTTAACCTTACTTTTGCAAAAAAAAATTTCAAAGTGATTTTTAATATATTTAATTTAAATAAAATCCTTTTTTACAAATGTGTTATATAAATCAATTTTTGATATCTAATCCATCTGGACTAACCGCCATATAACAAAGAACCCCACCGTTCGGTATTTGTTGAGCAGATACGAAAGCTCTTCCATCGGGAGCTTTGTGATACAACATAGGCATAATCGGGCCGGTTCTTTGTAAGAATGGAACTTCGCTGGCTAACATGTTCCCTAAATGTTCCGCTAAAGAACATAAATCAGATTCCGGGGGTGGTTTTGTGAACGGTCCATGAAGGAATTTATTTCGAACTTGAATTCTTAAGAATTGAATATATTCATTGCGCAATTTAGCAGTTTCTAAGTTGTCGTCGGGTATTCCCGTTAATTTTCTTACCCATTCCGAGCATCTAACTCGATCTTGAAATAATAAACTTGCTACAATAATTTATTGATGATTAAATTAAAATTACCGTATGGATTTGCTAAATCATGGGAATGCATTGCAATATCGTGTTGGGCATTTTTGAATTCTATGTTATCTTGGGTTGCCATTACTCATCAAAAATAAAGGCTAAAATAGAAAATTAATAAGAATATAGTCACATGTATACAATTTTTGATTGATTTTGACTTTTAATTTAGACATTTCTTCCGTTTTTTTGACAATTTTAAATCAAACAACAACAAAATTGCGTTTAAACTTGAATATTATAATTTTAATTAAGAGTACAAACCATATTACAACATTTATAGTTCTTAAACTTTACCAAAAATCTACATAAAACAGACACTTTTTTTATTTATTCGCATACTACAAAACTCCTCAAAATAATTTTATGTTCCATCAAAACGATCAAATCCATTTTGTTAGAACATAATTAATATTTTTATAATCTAATCAAAGCTTATTAACTCAGCCGTTTGAGTCTCCTCTTGAGTTTGTTGTACTTGAGGACTCGGCGGTGGCGCCCCCGGTTGTTGGTATTGCGGCAAAGTCATTGGAACACCTCCTTGTTGCCCCATCATCCCTTGTGTACCCCCCATCAACGCCGGTGGTAATTGCATGGGAGGAATTTGTCCCATTGGAGGAGGAATTCCTTGTCCTGGGGGGATATTCTGCATTATATTTTGTGGGGGGACTTGAATATTTTGAGGAGGACCTTGCATTCCCGGCGGTGGAGGAACTTGAACGTTTTGAGGTGGACCGTGAAGATTTTGAGGGGGAGCTTGAATATTTTGTGGGGGAGCTATGTTTTGAGGTGCCGATTGTATATTTTGTGGCATCCCCGGATGTGGGGCTTGAATGTTTTGAGGGGGTTGAACTCCTAAAAATTAAAAAAACTAATTAATTTAAACAAATAAAATTAAATCTGTCAAATTTGAATTTGAGGTTAACTTTAAATAATTATTTTATTAATTAATATTTTTAATACAAGCGTAATTTCGTTGTTAAAACACATTTTTTAATTTATTTAAATTAAAAATTTAATTAAATTAACTATAAATAATAAATTTTATTAATATTAAATTGTATTAATTTTAAGTTGGTAGCTCTAAATCGCAAATTAACCATCGCGAAGTAAATCTATTTAATTTTAATAAAAAAAGATAATTTCAGGTGTGATTTAAGCAATAATTATTCATTATCGCATAATTAACCATAAAAAATCATTCTTTTTTATTTAAACAAATAAATTAAAATAAATAATTTTATTTAAAATATTAAATCTGTCAAATTCGAATTTGAGGTTAACTTTAAAACATTATAAAATTTATTATTTTAATGTAAACGTAATTTCATTGTTAAAACACATCTTTTAATTTATTTAAATTAACAATTTAATTAAATCAACTATAAATAATAAATTTTATTAATATTAAATTGTATTAATTTTAGGTTGGTAGCTCTAAATCGCAAATTAACCATCGTGAAGCAAATCTATTTAACTTTAATAAAAAAAGGATAATTTCAGGTAAGATTTAAGCAATAATTATTGGTTATTGTTTAATTGTCCATAAAAAATCAACCTTTTTATTTTTTGTTTGGTAAAAATTTTTTTTAAAATGACATTTCAATTTTTTTTAGGTTATGTTATTAAATACTAACCTTGCGGTGGTATTTGATACCCCATCATCATATTGGGTTGCGCATATTGATAATAAGCGCCCATAGGTTGCGGATTACTTTGATATTGAGGCCCATGGATAGGAGACCCCATATACCCCCCAAATTGCGGATTAATCATGTATTGTTGCTTTTGTTGTTCCTGCCGCATTTGCATCTCGCGTTCTTGTTCCTGAATGCGTTGCAAAGCTAATTGCCTTTGATACTGTAAGTATTCCTGTTTCTTCTTTCTCATTATATCTAATTTATGCGCCATTTGCAGTTGTCTTTGTCTCTCGGCTTCTTCGGCTTGCCTTCGCAATTTCTCCCGGTGTTCTTCTCGGAGAGCGTCAAGCGCTGCTCGAGCGTCTTTAACTTGGGTTAATTTATCTTGGAGACCTTCGTAATAGATGCGATTATCGTCGTGTTGTTGAATGTATTTTAATAGTTGCGAATGCATTTTGGTTAGGTTCATAAAAAGGGTTTGGACGCTGCTATCGGTGGCTATTGATCGACCACGACTCGAATTCGATTTCATCCGATTAATAAAAATTTCGACTTGGGATCTTAATGTGTTTGTAAAATCCTCGATTGTTACATCAGCCATTCCATTCTCTTTAAATTTTAAATCAATGTTTTGAATTGGGGCACTCGCTGAAACCGATGGAGTACTCAAAGATGATTTAACATCATTATCGTTTTGTTGTCGATTTTCCCAATAAGTTCGATTTAAATAATGCGATAATTCAGGTGATTCCTCGGGGCTTTGACTGCGCACCTCAACTTTAGATTCTTGTACTTTACTAAAAGTCGCTGTTGAGGACACCCTCATTTTTTGTTTCTCTTTCGCTTCGGCTTCCGATTGACTCAAAGCCAACGCCAATTGAAGTTCTTCTTCTTCGCGTAATTCATCCTCATTCTTTTTGGGTGGGACTTGACTTTGTTGGGCCAACGAGCTCTTCAAGTACTCAATGGGTAAATCGGAGTCCTTTTCAACGGATTTCGCCGTCGCAAATGGCTTCGTGTGTAGTTCAAAGCATGCGTCGCAAACGCGCACTTCTTTTTCGATGCCGAATTTCGGTAGCGGGGTGTTTTTCTGCGAACACTGTCCGCAAAAAACTTGGCCGCACGCTCTGCAGTGATGTTTGCGCTGCATAACCCCGAACTGCACCCGACAGTGATGACACACTTCTCCGTCCACCCATTTTGGGGCACTATCCGCGGTAAACATTGCTTCTGATTCACGATAAGCCGGAAATGTAAAACCTTCCGCTTTCATTACCGTCACTAAATCCTAAATGAACACAAAGAAATTCAAAATGGCGATCTTTTGTTAATTTAATTAGATAAAATTGAGTGGTTATCGTAAACAGGTGAGTCATGCGGTATTATTTACCTTTAAATTGCTGTGTTTTGCATTTTTACGGGCAATAACTGAATTCCAAACTTGTAATAACTCCAACATTTTCTCTTTCACTTTGATGTGAGGGGTTGTTTTAACGAATTCATGTAAAGTCTCACAATACGCTTTACTTGTTAATTCATCATGTACCGAAGGGCAATTCTTTACCACACTTTCCAGAACCATCATCGCAAACATTGCACTGTGAGGATTTTGAGAGGCTAATTTCTTTTTTATCGCGGTTAAAGCGTATTTTGGCCTAAAAATTAATTAATTAATACGAATTTTATATTTTTAAGCGGTTTAAATCATTTACTGGATATCATCTTGACGAATTTGATCGCATATTTGCATGATTGCAGTCCAATCCGGTTCCATTAAGAAGTGGCTGGTTGCTTTATCTGTTTAAAAAATTAATCAATTGATTTTTAAATAAGTTATAAATGTGTTTACCTAGTTGCTTATCAAAACCGGAGTTTTTAAACATGTTGATGCTTTATGTTGTAACACAAAATAATAATAGGTGGTTTTTTTAAAGATTTCGTGGGATGTGTCACGGTTGTCAAAAAAAGTGACGTTTCTACCAGCTGATAAATTTGGTTGAGTTCTGTTTTATCGGCAATGATTCACAAAATTAATTATAAATATATTATATTAATGATAATTACATTAATTTTATTTATATTCACAAATTAAATTGTATAATTAATTAATTATTTATATTTAAAAAAATTTATATTACAGGTTCCTGTAATTCAGCACATCAATCTTATTTAATAATATTTATTGGACCTTCAAAGTAAGTATTCCTTTTATTATTATTTTTATTAATTTTAAGCAAATAAATCGGGCCAAGAATTTAAATAAATAAATTTTAATATTTTGAGGTTATAATTTTTGACGTTTAACAACTATCAGATCTTTGGGACTGCCGTCGTTAACACAGGGCGAATTTCTTTATCATAGGGATGAATACAAGTGCCCTTATGAAGTCAGAGCAAATAAATCTGGCCACACTATTCGACAGGTGTGATTAATACAGGGACTGACCCGGACTGACCTTTGGAATCAGTATAAAGGTCTTTGCCCACTACACCCTATCATACCATGACCGTAACCATATCGACACATGCAAAAAAATATTCAGCTGATTAAGTTGGTGTCAAAAAAAGTGACGTTTCTACCAGCTGATTAAGTTGGTTGAGTTCTATTTTATCGGCGATATATTTATAAAATTAATTATAAATATATTATATTAATAATTATTACATGAATATGCATCAATTTTATTGATATTCATAAATTAAGTTGTATAATTATTTATATTTTAAATTTTTTATATTACAGGATTCTGTAATCCAGCACATCAATCTTATTTATTGAGAATAGTTAATATTTATTGGACCCTTAAAGTAAGTATTCCTTTTATTATTATTATTTTTATTAATTTTAAGGAAATAAATCGGGCCAAGAATTTATATAAATAAATTTTAATGTTTTGAGGTTATAATTTTTGACGTTTAAAAAATCAATTTTATTTACTTATCTTAAACAATAAATCATAACGTTTCTAATTCAGGTGGAATAGGAATCTTATTATTAACAGCAAATTTAAGAAGAGCCTCATATCGGTTTTTAATTGTATGCACTTCCTCTTTAATCCTTACGACATCATCCTGCATCGTTTCCATGTCTCTCCACTCCTGCGTTTTCTCCGTTTCTAACTCGTCCTTTTGTTCGATCCTTTTAATTCGACACGAAGCGGCGTAACCCCGATTTTTTAGGGTTCTCCGTCGTTGTTTCATCCTGACGATTTCCTCCCGGGTTAAACCGCGCAATTTGAGTTGTCTGTTTAAATCGCGAACGGATATAGAAACCAATTCATCGTCGGAGATGTCGAGGACTGGCCCCGGGGACAGAGGGGGCTAAAATCAAAACGTTTATTAGAATGAGTAAGTTAGGAGGGGGCGAATTCGTGTCTTATCGCTAACATACCAACGCTTTTCGTCCATTTTCTTTGCGATGTTCTTGAGGCATTCTCAAATTACTTATTCTCAAATTACGACGCAGTATCTAGAGATGGAATTTACGCAAAAACTGCAAGTCATTGTTGGTTATGAATTGTGTTGGGAAAGTTTATTAACTGTTCTAAAAACATTTTTGTCCCGTTATAATTTGGGCCATAATTAATTTGTTTAAACATTTCGATAAGATTTTTACGTAAAATCGTGGAAATATTAAACTAAAAGTGGAAAATTTATGCGAATCATTTCAGCGTTGCCAACTAAATCTTTATAATTCCCCTAAATCACTTAGTCTTGATAAATCTTTGAATTGTAAAAGATGGAAACTTCGATTGATTTCTTAAAACCATGTTTTGTGATAATTACGGGTGCCTCAAAAGGTATCGGAAGACAAATCGCTATTGATACGTCAAAAAAGTTATGTGATGGATCTGAAATTGTTCTTGTGGCAAGATCTGAAGAAGGATTAAAAGAAACTCAAAGTTTAATAACATCTGTTACACAAAAAAACATCAAAATCGAAACGATTAAGGTCGATTTTTCTAATTTCACCTTATTGGATTGTGAAAAATTCTTTAATAACTTAACAACAAACACACAATTTGAATCAGGAGTGATTTTCCACAACGTTGGTTCAATTGGGACATTAAAAAAGGTTACAAATTTGGAGGATCTCGATGAATGGAAAAAGCATTATGATTTAAATTTATTCTCAACAATCCTCTTTAATAATCATTTTATTAAGACAATTGGGCCAATAACAAAAAGGATTTATGTAATTAACATTACATCTTTGTGTGGGAGAAAACCTTTTAATAATCTTGCTATGTATGGTTCTGCTAAAGCTGCAAGGGATTTATATTTTAAAGTGTTAGATGTTGAAGAACCCAACATTACTGTTCTTAATTACTCTCCAGGGCCTGTTAAAACGGATATGGTGGATATAATTGTAAATGAAGCCGAGGATGAAGGATTACGACAACAATTTAAAACTAATATTATGGAAAAAACCATTTTAACCCCTCCCCAAACTGTTTCGAAATTAATTTATTTGTTAGAAAGGGGTAAATTTAATTCTGGGGATACTGTTGATTATTATGATGTATAAATTTGATTAATAAAGAATTTATTTCTATTTAATAACTACAAAATTATTTATTTCATTTATATACATCCAGGAAAAGGATCTTTTCGGTTCTTTCTCAGAACAAATTGGATCTTGCGGTCCATATCTTCATTATAAATCGCTTTGCATTGCTCGAAATTAATTCTTCTTCTGTATTGATACGGTTTTTCGTAAAATCTCGTTCTCCGATATTGGTCTAAGATCCCATCTCGTCCCAACACCCTATTTAATATCCTACAAGCCGCTTCTATATCGTTATTTTGCACAAAAACAGTTCGGGCGATAAAACTTGAGTATTTCATGGTTTTTAGGTTATGTCGATTTATAGGTTATCTTTTACGTCACTTCTTATTTTTAATGATGATGTTGATATAAATAATAAAATTAATATGAATTTAAGGTGGAATTATTATTATTATATGTAATTATTAATATTAATTAAGTTAATAAATTTAATTTAAATATAAATTTGAGATAAAAAAAAAATTTTAGTTGGTAACAATTCTTGTCAACAAAATTAAAATGACACACACATGACAAGGCCACAAAATCATAATAACACAAGTTTTAAGATGTGTTAAGTGTAATTTGAAAGATGTCGTAACTGATTAATCGTATAAGTGGCCCCAAAATTACCGAAAAGAAATGTTTAGAAGTCGGAGTTGGTTTGGAGGTGGTTGGGGTCGCCCGAAGAATCCTCACTCGTTGGAGCACCTCAAATACCTTTACAACGTTTTATCAAGAAATCAAACCGTATCAGAACATAACCGAGGATTACTCGTGGAGACTTTACGATCGATAGCCGAAATTTTAATATGGGGCGACCAAAATGACTCTTCCGTTTTTGAGTAAATCAATTTTGAATTTTTTTTTTCTTTAATTAATTCGATATTTTTTAGCTTTTTCTTAGAAAAAAATATGTTATCGTTTTTTTTACGCATCATGAGACAAAGAAGTGGGGGATCCAGTTTTGTTTGTGTTCAATTGCTTCAAACGTTAAACATTTTATTTGAAAACATAAGAAATGAAACTTCTTTATGTACGTAATATTAATTAATTAATTCGATTAATTATTTCATTATTTTTTTAGATTATTTATTATCAAACAATCACGTCAATTCGATTATCGTCCATAAATTTGATTTTTCCGATGAGGAGGTGATGGCTTATTATATTTCGTTCCTTAAAACGTTAAGTTTGAAATTAAATGTACATACAATACACTTTTTTTATAACGAGGTAATTATTTTAAATTTTAAAAGTATTAAATTAAAAGTGAGGTTAAGTGTATGTTTGGTTGCATAACTTTCTTCATTTTTTTAGCATACGAATGATTTTCCGCTTTATACGGAGGCTATTAAGTTTTTTAATCATCCCGAATCGATGGTTCGAATCGCTGTGCGTACTTTAACGCTAAATGTGTACAAAGTAGAAGATTCTAGCATGTTGACCTTTATTAGGGATCGAACTGCAGCTCCTTATTTTTCAAATATCGTTTGGTTCATTGGAAAACACATTCAAGAGTTGGATAATTGCGTTAGAAACGATGCTGAGTACTTTTTTTTTAAATCTAATTAATCAAAGATGTTTAAATAATTTTGTTTTAGCCACCAATCCCAAAATCGCCTCTCAGATTTAGTTGCAGAACACTTAGATCATCTCCATTACCTCAACGATATTTTATGTTTGAACATAACAGATTTAAATCAAGTCTTAACAGATCATTTATTACATAAATTATTAATTCCCTTGTATATACAGTCTTTATCGTCTATGACGAAACTTTCTGATTCAAATGAAGCCCAAGCGACGCAAAATCTAAATCGAGTTTTTAATAAAAACTTGAACTTCAACGAACATTCGCAATACGATTTTATAAACGGGAAAGTTTCTTGTGTGGTCTCATTGTTTTTGTTATCACAAGTTTTTTTGATTATTTCGAACCCTTTGCTGGTGCAGGCATTATCTTGGATCATATTAAAATCGGATAAATTGATGTTGGGGAAAGGAGTTGACAAGTTGTTAAACTTTTATGAAGTTGCAAAACGCGATGAAGAAAATACTCACTTAAATAGCGACGTTTTAACCGATGGGAGTTCCTCTTCGAAGGAGAATTTGGCGGAGGAGCCTAAAAATATCACTGATGAGGAGAAAGAGAAATTGGTTTCTCCAACAAGCGATGAAAACTTTGATAAACCTTTTTTGGAGACGATTTTTAACGCTTTGGATTGCGCAGAGAATGATTACACAACGCTTTTTGCGTTAACTTTATTATATGCGATGGCGAATAATAAAGGTTATTTAATTTATAATTATAATAATAATAAGGTTGCGACCAAAAAACTTTTTTGAAATTGAAAGGCGATCTTTATTGATTTTTGGGTGCTTTGTCCTATTTTCTTTGATTATAATATTAGGAAATAGGACAACGCATGATATTGGTTCATTATTGGTTTTTGCAAATAGATTAGATTATAATTCAGGAATAAAAGAAGATTGAGCAAAACTTTTTATACAAAAAATGTTCCTTACTAGTCTGCAAAACATGTCTGATACACCATTTAATTACTTCGATTATTTTGTCCAACTTAGAGTCTTCCAAATTTGAAAAATATCAAAATTTATTGCCGTGGTTGTCGTAATTCTCCCGGCAATTTTTGTTACATTTGTTGTCTTATTCGTAATCATCATTAAAAATCCTTTAAAATGAGTACAAACACGACACATTTATCTTCAATATTAATGAAGATATGGTCAACTTCCGGTTAGAAATGTAAATGTAAAATTTGACATATTTGTGATCTTCATTAAAAATACTTTAAAATGAGTCCAAACATGATACATTTAACTTCAATATTACCCGAGATACAAGCAACTTCCGGTTTTAAATGTCAATGTCATTGTGACATATACTTAATATTCATAAACTGTCTTAAAATTTATTATAAAAAACGAAAATATAAGAAAAATATCTCAAAAATTAAGGTTGGTATTAATATTTAAAAATTATTTTGCTAACTTCATTGTTGCCAACTTTAGGTTTAATACTTTTTATTCTAACTTTTTTCTTTTTCGAGATAAATGCGTCATGTTTGGGCGCATTTTAAAGGTTATTTGATAAAGATTACGAATACATCAAAATTAAAGTTGACATTAAAACTATGAAGTTGTCAACTTTGAAATGTCAACCTCAATTTTGACGTATTTGTAATCGTCATTAAAAATCCTTTGAAATGAGTACCAACACGACATATTTCATTTCAATATTAATGAAGTTATGGTCAATTTCCGGTTTCAAATGTCAACGTCAATTTTGACATATTAGTAATTTTATCAAATTGTCTTAGAATAAATATATTTTTTTATAAAAAACGAAAATACCAGAAAAAATCTCAAAAACTAAGGTTGGTATTAATATTGAAGAATTATGTTGTTAACTTCATTGTTGCCAACTTCAGGTTTAATATTTTTTATCCTAACTTTTTTGTTTTTCGACAAAAATGCGTCATGTTTGGACTCATTTTAAAGGTTATTTAATAAAGATTACGAATACATCAAAATTAAAGTTGACATTAACACCATGAAGGTGTAACTTTGAAATGTCAACCTCAATTTTGACGTATTTGTAATCGTTATTAAAAATCCTTTGAAATGAGTACCAACACGACATATTTCATTTCAATATTAATGAAGTTATGGTCAATTTCCGGTTTTGAAATGTCAACGTCAAATTTGACATATTCGTAATTTTATCAAAATGTCTTAAAATAGATATAATTTTTTATAAAAAACGAAAATACCAGAAAAAAATCTCAAAAATTAAGGTTGGTATTAATATTTAAAAATTATGTTGCTAACTTCATTGTTGCCAACTTCCGGTTTAATATTTTTTATTCAAACTTTTTTGTTTTTCGACAAAAATGCGTCATGTTTGGACTCATTTTAAAGGTTATTTAATAAACATTACGAATACATCAAAATTAAAGTTGACATTAAAACCATGAAGTTGTCAACTTTAAAATGTCATTCTCAATTTTGACGTATATGTAATCGTCATTAAAAATCCTTTGAAATGAGTACCAACACGACATATTTCATTTCAATATTAATGAAGTTGTGGTCAATTTCCGGTTTGAAATGTCAACGTCAATTTTGACATATTCGTAATTTTATCAAAATGTCTTAAAATAAATATAATTTTTTATGAAAACGAAAATACAAGAAAAAATCTCAAAAATTAAGGTTGGTATTAATATTTAAAAATTATGTTGCTAACTTCATTGTTACCAACATCCGGTTTAATATTTTTTATTATAACTTTTTTGTTTTTTGAGGTAAATGCGTCATGTTTGGGCTCATTTTAAAGGTTATTTAGTAAAGATTACGAATTTAATAATAAAATTAAAGTTGACGGTGACACCTGAATGTTTTTTTAACAGTTAGGTCGCCCTAAATAATCTAAAAAGTTTTTATGAAATTAATTTTTTAATTATTTTTAAATTAATTCATAAAATTTTTTTATTTTAGGTGTTTTACCTGAACACGTTGAATTAGTTTTACGACCAAAAAAATCGTTGGTGTCCTCATCAAGCGCAAAAGACATAAAATACACCTACAATAATAATTTAGTCGATCGAATATTGCATATTGTAATATTATCGTGTCAACCATCTTGCCGGGTGCGTTTAGTAACGCTCGAACTGGCGTTAAAATTGCTAGTACAACTCGTGATGTGCGATGGAAAAAACATTTTAAATGAGGCGCATAAATCGTCTATTGATACGGCCAAATCGCAAAGTACGGCTTTACTCAGGAATTTTTATAAGAGCGAGGAGATATTTTTGGATATGTTCGAACACGAATACTGTGATATGTCGAAAGGATCATTAAACGTTGAGTGGCTTTGTATGGATAGCGCGCTTTTATTACCGCCAACGGGGACTCCGTTAACCGGAATTGATTTTACAAAGCGTTTACCGTGTGGTGAAGTAATAAAGATGGTTTTAACAAAAATTTTTGTTTTAAACTGTGTTTGTTAGGTGGAAAGGGCAAGACGAGCAATTAGAGTTTTCTTTTTGGTGCGAGACACCGTCTTAACACTCAATGGTGACGTTGAAACTCAACTTCCTTTAACCAACCCGCAGACGAGCGTCCAAATTGATCAGGCCCTGGACTTGAGTATACCTCGTTGTGTGTTCGGGCCGCAGAAACTATACATTCACTAGACTATAAACATTTTTTATTATTTTTATTTTTTCATATCCTCAATTTTGTATTTTACCATTTTTTAACTATTTTTATCAGTCAAATTTGACATGATGGTTAAAGTGGTAATTAATTTTCGCAATTTTTTGCAAATAAATGTTTGTTTAAGCTTGATTAATTTTAATTTTAAGCATGTTAAGTCTAGTGTATGTTAAATTTCTCCGGCGTTTATTCTTGTCCAAGTTAATATGTTTATTTTCCCCCGCATCCGGTTCTTATTCGTTCCAGACAACTCCGATTTGATAGCTTGCACTGTCGCATGGAAAGATGGCAAAAATAAACGGCGATTTTTAGTCATCGACATCATGCAATTAATCCTCGTTGAGCCGGACCCCAAAAAGCTCGGCTGGGGCGTAGCGAAATTGGTCGGATTCTTGCAAGACATCGAAGTAACCGGAGATCAAGACGACTCGAGATGTCTTCACATCACCATTCACAAACCTTTATCGAGCACAACAGGAAATCGGGTTCCTTTATTATCGGCCAAATTCATTTTTGACGACAACATCCGTTGTATGGCAGCGAAACAACGATTATCAAAAGTAAATCGAACATTAATTTAAGTTCGATAATAAATGAATGTACCAAATTAATTTTTAGGGCCGAATTAAAGCTCGCCAAAAAAAGATGCAACACATAGCGCGATTATTAGATATTCCGGGACAATCGGGACCTCCAAGTCCGGCGTTTGTAGGTGCAGGTCTTTATGGGAACCGTACAGGTCGTGGAATCCGAGATAATCGTCCTTTATTTCATAACGTGAGAGTTCCGGGTTTTGCAGCCCCCCGAAGAGAAAGTACCCCCGGGGTTATTCACCGAACCGACGCTGATCGTAGAAGAAAAGACACCGAAAGTCCGAATGGAACGATTAAAAAGGAGACGCGTTCGAGAGAACCATCGGGATCGAGGGCTAAATCGAGAGAGGGGAGCCCAAGGATGCCGAGACCCCGCTCTGAGGAAATCCCATTGGAATTAATCAAAAAATCACCCGCTTCAATCATCGATATGGCCCCGAAGATCGCAATTATCCCGCGCCCCCAAATAGTTAGGGAAGAAGTGGTTAATGAAAATCAAAAGGTGGTTGTTGCAGAGGTTTCATCATCGATTGAAACTTCGTTTATTGCCGATAAAAGTACTCCGAAGAAAAAAGGACTCGTTGAGACTATTTAGTGATAAAATAATTTGGTGCTTTTATTATGTAAATTAAATTAATGTGTAAAATAATTTTTTATTGTTATTAAAGGTTAAAATCGGAGTTAAATTAAAAATAAATGTTAAATAAATAAAATATATTTATTGTTAGTAATATTTTTTTAGGTTGGTACTTTTTGACATAAATTTAAAAATGAAACTTGTCAAAAATGTCAAATTTTATTTTGGCTAAAAATTAATAAAAAAATTAACCCACATTAAAAAAAAATGGATGAAATAACGTTTGTGAGTGTCAGCAAAATTCGGGAATACTTAGAAAAGAGATCTGCAACAAGAAATTCGGTTGTTATCCGACAAAAAAATACTTTCGTAAAAATCGAAAAAATCAATGAGTTAGAAAACGATAAAGAAGGGTAAGTTTTATTTACTTAATTTATAAGATATAAACATCGCTCTTTAGGATATTATTCCGTTTAAGGAATTGAGAAAGTTATTCCGTAAGTGCGAACGTTGAGTCATTATTAGGATGACCGTGTGTGTGGCCCATTTCAAACCACATGTCGCCAGAATGTTACAAAATCGTTCATATTCTTTTGTGGTTTTCCAAATTATCAAAGAAATTTATCAGGAAAATTTACGAAATTCATGAAAAATCAAATATTAACGCATTTATAAAAGAATTACTATTAAATTAATCATTAATTTAATAATTAAATTGATTCAAATTAAATTTTAAGGTTAGAAATGTCAAAAACTGAATTTTTTTTTTTTGAGTGGGGATTAAATTGTCATCTGTCACTGATTTAATTGATTCTAACCTAATTTTTTTTTAAATTTTAATTTATTAATTAATGCTAAAAACGAATATAGATTTCGGTGAAATCGAAATTAAAATGAAATTTAAGGTAAAAAAGATTTATTCAAAACCAAATTATTCGTTTCGGTTAAATTTAAATTTTTGGGTGGGGTTCATACGTTATCTGCTTTTCTATTACGCCACTGGTTTGGTTGTCTCGGTCGGTAAGTTTGGATGTCGGGCGCTGCCCAACAGCAGTCGGTTGGCCGTCGCTGACAAGTACAGATACAAAGAGACGACGACCACGCGTTCTTCCGTTTCATCCAACATCAAACAGTACACGATTCCCTTTTTTGAATCAAATCCGACGCGTTCATCGTAAACGTAATTAAAACGGTCGTAAGCAGATGCCCACGAACCCCGTAAAAACACCCTCGAACTGCATTTACCGTATTAACGAGTATAACTCGTACAGATACAAGTTTTAATCGTGAGCCGGGAGTGCCGCAAAAACTATGGCGGACGACAACGCCAAGGATCGTTATGATCCAGAACTGAAATACCTGTGTGTCGATAGGAACCTGTACAACGACCCCGCATCGCAAGCCGAATGGACCCAAAAGAGACTCGTATGGGTGCCCCACGAAAGCCAGGGTTTCGTCGCGGCGAGCATCAAGGGCGAACGTGGAGACGAGGTCGAAGTGGAACTCCAAGAGTCTGGAAAAAGGACCTTTGTCGCTCGCGATGATATCCAAAAAATGAACCCCCCGAAGTTTGACAAGGTCGAGGACATGGCGGACCTCACCTGCCTCAACGAAGCCTGCGTCCTACACAATCTTAAAGATAGATACTATTCCGGATTAATCTATGTAAGTTCCAAATAACTCCTTTAAAACAAGTCATCTTAAACCAAGTCTTATTATTGATAAACTCTTTCGTTGGGGCCCCACGTTTGTTTTTTCAGTTCAACTTGTTTAGTCTTCGAAATCCGGTATTCGTAGAATTTCGTGATCGATCGTCGAACTATACAGGGTGACTCATAATGTATGGGAAAATCCAAAACTAAATATTATGTTTATTTTACATTTAAGACATTTATGCATATTTTCTGACAGTTTTTTTTTAACCTAAAAATTTTTTTTAATCTGTCAAATTCATGAATACATTTTAATTCGTTGCTTAGGAACGGTTCCTCTTCATAATACAAACAAGAATTACTTAAAAGTTTTAAGTAATTTATTAATTTTTAAATAAGTTGTATGTAGTATAAAGAGATATTTCATATTTATATAATATTGGAAATGTTCAATATCGATTCATTCCGGAAAAAATCCTTAATTTGAGGAAACTGTTTTTTAATAAGTCAAATGATTTACACAGAAGATAGTTGAATATAAAAGTTACTCATCGATGAATCAGATGTTATGGAGCTGCGGTTTTAATTGATTTTGAGTGAAAGTACACCTTTTTTGAATACAATGGCAAACGAATTTGAGTATGTGTCATTTATTTTTTGGGGTTTATATCAAAAACTCTACATCACTGTGGGTACAATGAGCTATGAATGAGAATTATGAAAATATAAATAATCTCTTGAATCAATTTTCTTCTTTCATCATTTTAAAACTTCTCCTTAATTTCCCAGACTTCTTCTAGAGAAGGATAATTATTTTTTGTCTTACGAGAAGAAACTCGATAACTTTCTGCTTATTCTTCTACATGTTTTGTATGGATTTGGTTAAGTTTTAGATTTTTTTGGTTAAGATACTTGAATTGTGTTAAAATGAATGTTAAATTAAAATTTTTAAATAATTGTTCACCCCATCTATCGGTAATCCCCCATATTATATCGTGTTTGACATTTGACAACCTCCGGTTGCATTTCTTCCTAAATTTATCAATTTTTACAAAAAAATTATTTAGTTGAACCAAAAAACCACATCTAAATACGTTTTTAAACACACAAAACATTTATTTAAAGTGATAATAAGTTCTAAGAAGTGATTTCTCCCTCTAAATTAATGTAATAATCAGTTTTTGGAAACATAACCTTACTTTTTTGTTCCGTCAATTTTAATTTTTTTGAAGATTGACGAAAATCGCAAAAACTTTGGGATTAAAAATGAAAGTTTTTTAAGTTAAAAAGGAAAATTAATCGCTATTTAGGTGATTATTTCAAAATTTGTATGATTTTTTATCAATAATTATTTACCCCATCTAGCGGCAACCCCCCATATTAAATCATGTTTGACATTTAACAACCTCTGATTACATTTCTTCCCAAATTTATCAATTTTTACAAAAAAATTATTTAGTTGAACCAAAAAACCACATCAAAATGCGTTTTTAAACACAAACTATTTATTTGAAGTGATAATAACTTCTAAGAAGTGATTTCTCCCTCTAAATTAATGTAATCAGTTTTTGGAAACGTAACCTTACTTTTTGTTCCGTCAATTTTAAATTTTTTGAAGATTTAAGAAAATCGGAAAAACTTTGGAATTAAAAATGAAAGTTTTTTAAGTTAAAAACGAAAATTAATCGTTAATTAGGTGATTATTTCACAATTTTTATGATTTTTTCACCCCATCTAGTGGCAACCCCTCATATTAAATCGTGTTTGACATTTGACAACCTCCGATTAGTCCGATTGCATTTCTTCCTAAATTTATCAAATTTTACTAAAAAACATTATATTTACACCAAAAAAACACATCAAAATACGTTTTTAAACACGCAAACTCTTTATTCAAAGCGATAATAAGTTCGAAGAAGTAATTTTTCAAACTTACACATAAAGAAACATAACCTTACTTTTTATTCCATCAATTTAAACTTTTTTGGAGATTAAAGAAAAACGGGATGATTTATTAAAGTAAAAAGTTGTAAGGTAATTAATTGATTAACTTTTGATGTGATTAATTTTGTTCATTTATTTTTTAGGAAAAACTTTGGAATTAATAAATGGAATTTTTTTATGTTAAAAAAGGAAAATTAATCGTTATTTGAGTGACTATCATAATTTTTATGATTCTTTTTTATTTTAAAATATCCTTTTTTTATAAACAACTACTCCTCCCATCTAGTGGTGACCCCCCCATATTAAATCGTATTTGACGTTTGACAACCTACAATTTTATTTTTTAAATTTATTAAATTTTACAAAAATGCATTATTTTTGGACCAAAAACACATCAAATATGGTTTTTAAACACCCAAATTGTTTATTTCAAGTGATTATAAGTTCTAAGAAGTGATTTTTAATTTTTTTATTATCGAGGTAGCAAAAAGGGAGCAACGTCTTCAATGTCTGGTTCTTGGCGATGCGGGGGAGTAGTCGCTTATCGTGTTGTTGACCCCTTTTAAGAACGGCATTCCAGTACTCTATCTATAGTAGAAATGTCACCGAAACCACCTGGAATTGGTCGGTTCAAGACTTTTACCTGTTTCTCTCCGCCTAAACGATTCACGTTTAAACTATGTGGTTTTCGTTGATGATTAATTCGTGGAAATCATCACAAAGAATCTTTAAACTACAACTAAGTTGTTGCTGTTTTTCGTTGTTTTAATGACTATTTATTAGCTTTTGCGTTTTGTGTAAACGTAAGCAGTTATTAAGACTTCAAGGTTTTCTTTGGTTTGAATTTTTAACGTTAATTTGCAGTTAAAAATTGCGTTGCGTGCATTCCATTTTATTTTCAAACTAAATATTAATCTTAAAAGTATACGCGTTATCATTTTATTTAATTTAATTCAACAACTTTTCAGTAAATTCTAAAATTTTAAGAATTTCCTTAAAAAAAAGACGTTCTTATCACCTCGCGACGTGTTCTTATCGAAAAGTAGACTTCCGTTCGCGATTACCACGACTAGAATTTACAAAAAAAATGTTGGTTTATTTCTATTTGTTTTGTTGGTATGAATAATAATGTTGTGCGAAAAGCTTTTAATTTTCTCGCACAATATTTTAACTCTGCTGCTTTATATGCTGTTAATTAAATGCAAATTGCGATCCCGACATTCTTAGGCGATTAAATGTTAATAGGGTAGAGTATGTGAGGCAAGGTCGGCGTTTTTATTTCAAACATTTTAATCAAAAACTTTAAATTAGTAGTGATAGATTTTTTTTGAAATTAAAGTAATTAATTTTATTAAATAAACTGTTGATTAATAACTCGTTATCTTGGTTTGTCTTGTGTTAAGAGATTAAAGATGCCGAACGGTTTTATTACTTTGGATATCTTATCGTGTTTTTATTTTTTTTATAGGAAAAATCGAAAATCAATAATTTTAAATAAAATTATTTTTCGCAACAACCATTTACTTTTATAGCGAACAAACAACGTTTTTAAAAACTGGATAACCCTAATTTCTCTTTTCCACCGCACAACATAAGCACAAAACTGGAACGCGACCTTCACTTTCGCGAACCAAACCCTAAACTTAACACGTGGGCGTCTTTTCCTTGCTTCAGATCATTTTCCGCAACACCAAAACAAATCCCGATTGAAAATCGTAATCGTCCGATAGTAATTGAATTTTTCGCGCCCTTTAATCGCGTTTCTTCTTTCATTGGGGCCTAAAAAACGCCCTAAAACGAACAGCTGATGTGTGTGTTAAGTTTTAAGGACGTTGTTGCGTTGCGATCGGTTGCGTTTACTTCCATTTATGGTCTTCGACGACGGTTTCTTTTCTTTCTTGTATGTGTTATTTTTTTTTTCTTAAAGTACGAATGTATCTCGTCCGAGAAACTGGGTTACGATGTGAATTTAAAAAGTTTAAAAAAGTCTAAACAGATGTTGGGTGTCCTCGTTAATTGTAAATTGTAAAACAAAGTTGATATTTTATTTCATTTATTTTTCGTTGCAGTAAATCCAATATTTATCAGAAGAGTTTTGTTTATTTGCAGTGTAGCACTTAATAAAAAATGCTTATCGTGCTTCCAATATTTATCAATTTACGTAATAATATTTATAATCATTATTAAAGTAAACTTTAATTTTTTAAATCAATTTATTTTTTTAAATTTCATTTAACTTGATTACAAATATTGCTTGCTTTATGATTCAATCGATCCAAAATTAAAAATCGAGTTATTTAAGCCCAAACACGATGGGTTTATCTTAAATATTTCCAAAGATAAAATTTAAAAAAAAAATTAAAGATGGCGGATATTAACTGTCATTTTTAAGGTTATGTTGTCGTATTTCTTTGTAAATGTAGGTTGGTGGGTATGAAATTACAAGATTTTTAATTGAAATCAAAAAAAAAATTAAAATCCAAGATGGCGGATATTAACTGTCATTTTTAAGGTTATGTTATTTTTTTTTTAAATATATGTTGGTGGGTTGTTAAACTACAAGATTTTTAATTAGAAACAAAAATTATTTCAAAAAGTAATAATTAAAATCAAAGATGGCGGACATCAACTGTCATTTTTAAGGTTATATTTTTGTATCTTAATGAAAACATAGGTTATTGGGTATCAAAATAAAGGATTTTTGATGCCCATTCCGAATTTAAAATTGTTAATGTTTTAAAACAATAATTAAAAAAAACAAAATGGCGGATGTAAAAAATTTTTTTTTAGACGATAATTTTGGTTATTAAATTTCCTTTATGATTTTCGACTAATTTTTAAGTTATCTGAAATGTTTCCAAAAAAACATTTAAATTAAAAATGGCGGATATTAATTATCATTTTTAAGGTTATGTTTTCGTTTTTTTTTTTTGTAAATATAGGTTGGTGGGTATGAAATTACAAGATGTTTAATTAAAATCAAAAATTATTTCCAAAAATATAAATAAAATCAAAGATGGCGGATATTAACTGTCATTTTTAAGGTTATATTTTGATATTTTCATGAAAATATGGGTTGTTGGGTATCAAATTAAAGCATTTTTGATGCTTATTCCGAATTTATAATAATTAAATTTTTGAGGTTAGAAAAGGAAAAATAACTATCATTTTTAAGGTTACTTGTTGGTATTTTAGTGAAAATATAGGTTGTTGGGTATCAAATTAAAGGGAATTTGACCTTTGTTGCGTTTTGAAATTTTTTAGATTAAAAAGATTGAAAAAGTAAATATAATATGTTTTAAAAATGTTTTAATCATAAAAAATTATGAGAAATCTGATAAAATATGATAAATATTGTTAGCAATCGCTCAATACTATCTGCCACCAGGTAGATATCGCTCAAAATTAACTGCCCTGAGATATAGAACGTTGGAAATTGATCAAAATTGAAATATATTTATTTTAATATCTGATAATTATCATCAGAAATCGTTCCAAATGATGACATATCAGAATAGTTCTGTATGGTCTGAAATTATGTTAATATTGCTAATAATCATAATTCTTTTAGATACGAACCATGTATTTAGAAATTGTAAGAAAACCACATAATCTACAACTTTGTCAGGATACGGATTTATTTAAAAATCTTCATCAAATATTAATTTCCAATGTTTACTTCTTTACACATAGTTTATATTTACATGGTCTGACCGCTTATGAATCATCGTCATCCTGCATGTTTTATCGATTTGTCGTCGTCGTTCGTTTTTCCTCGAAAACCTCCTCGACGTTTTCAGAGATAAGCGAAATTCTTTACCGTATAAGGAGTCCGAATTACTCAATCCGAATACGTCGACGTAATCAAAAATATAAAAATAAATTCGGATTGCAACCGGGACGATGTAACACTCCAAGGACAAAGAAGTAATTGTCCGTACAGGAATTTATTGATGACACATTAAGGAAATGTTTAAAAAGGAATTTTTATCATTATTAAAGAGATAACGTTGATTTCACATTTGGAATTTATTACCCCGTTCAAAGTGTTTGTGTGAAATTCAACTTTGAACTTGATTAAAAGAGGATTGATTTAAATTAATAATTTTATGAAAAACAAGTTTTAATTTAATAGAAACCCAAAATAAATTAATCTTCTTTATTAGGCGTTTTAAGGTCATTTCTCCTTAAAGAGAGGCACGATTTTCTTAAACAAGACTCTCGTTTACGCAATTTTTTCCGAGCCTATTAAAGTAAGCGAGAACTAATTGAGCGCGACCATTTCCAGACGATTAATTTGCATCAAACTTTTCCGTTTTTCTTTTAACAAATTAAACTGCAACAAAACACAACGAACGACTTTATTCGAAATTCGTTTCTAAATTATCGTTTTATTTGCTGAGGCAGTTTTTTTTTGCTGCCGTGGTTTTGAATTTTGAGCTTTGAGTGCAAAGTTGCGGAGGGAGATATGAAGAAAAGAAAAACATTTAAAAAAATAAAATAAAAAGGGGAACGTAACGTGTGATGCAAACGAGTGTGTCGCCGAAGTCTTTGACCTCAGAAGGTCACAAGAAGAACGGGGGGCCACCACCTCTGCCGCCGTCGTCCGCCGAATCCTTTGTCTCTTCTTAAAGGTTTTAAATGACCTTGCCCCAGAGTTAGCGCCTCGCGGGAACCGTATAAATAGATGAGTCGATCTTAAAATACGCAAACACCAAAAGAATGCATTTTTTTAAGATTAGGTCGTATATTGTCTTGTTGATGGCGATTATTAGCAATAATTGGAGATGACACTTTAATTATTAGAATTTTCGTTCCATTTTTTCGATCTAATCCACATGATTGATCGGATTAAGCCGTGACATCCAAATCTTGCATTTAAGTCTTCTCCTTAGAAAATCGCCTAAAATAAATATGATTTACTTTATGTAATTGTTTACTTACCCCATTTTTCCTCCTTTTTTTAGACATATTCAGGCCTATTTTGCGTGGTAGTAAACCCGTATAAGAAATTACCGATTTATACGGAGAAAATAATGGAAAGGTACAAAGGAATAAAGAGACATGAAGTTCCCCCGCACGTTTTCGCAATAACCGACACGGCCTATCGTTCAATGTTACAAGGTGAGTAAACATAAATACGATTACAATTCAAATAGAACGAAGAAATTAAATCGAGCATAATTAAGTACACATAACCTATGTTGTAATTTGACAACTGTCAAAAATGACAACAATGAAATTTAAACGTAATTTTAATTCTATTTATATTTTTTAATTTATTTTATTTACTTCATAAATTGATTTATTTTGATGTTTCGAATCAGTATCAACGTAATTTTTGATTTTTTTAAACTAATTTATTTTGTTTAATTCGAAGAAAAAGATTTTTCGCGAAACTTCCGCCATCTATTGGCGAAGAATGAAACTGCAACGAATTTATTTATTTTTTTTATTTAATTGTTGCTAAATTAAATTAAAATAAACGATTTAATAAAAAAATTAAATAATTTTTGATTTATTTAATTTTTTATCTTAAATCAATTAAATTGGTATAATTCGAATATGCGTTATTTAGTTCCATCTATTGATAAAAAGATGGAACTAAAAACGGCATCTGTCATGAAACATTCCCCAACAGTGTCATTTCGTTTATAAACTTTCTGAAGGTATACTGAATCTAATAAATTTAAAGACAGTATTCAACCGTCTCAATAAGTAAATACGCAAAGAAGTAAAAACTTACAAGTTATAACCCGAAACTTTCTAGTTCTAGTGTTAGTTCTAGTTTTAGTGTTTTGATTTTGGTGTTTTTTGAAACCGTTTCGACCCACGGCTAAAAAAGAACCGTCAGGTGTCAACGTCAACTTTAATTTCATTATTATATTCGTAATCTTTACTAAATAACCTTTAAAATGAGCCCAAACATGACGCATTTATCTCGAAAAACAAAAAAGTTAGAATAAAAATTATTAACCCTGAAGTTGGCAACAATGAAGTTAGCAACATAATTTTTAAATATTAATACCAACCTTAATTTTTGAGATTTTTTATGAAAAATTATATTTATTTTAAGACATTTTAATAAAATGACGAATATGTCAAAATTGACATTGACATTTGAAACCTAAAATTGACCATAACTTCATTAATATTGAAATGAAATATGTCGTGTTGGTACTCATTTCAAAGGATTCTTAATGACGATTACAAATTCGTCAAAATTGAGGTTGACATTTCAAAGTTGACAACTTTATGGTGTTAATGTCAACTTTAATATTGATGTATTCGTGATCCTTATTAAATAACCTTTCAAATGAGCCCAAACATGATGCATTTATTTCGAAAAACAAAAAAAGTTAGAATAAAAAATATCAAACCTGAAGTTAGCAACATAATTTTTAAATATTAATATCAACCTTAATTTTTAAATATTTTTCTTATATTTTCGTTTTTTGTGATAAAATTTAAGACGTTTTATTTAAAACCGGAAGTTGCTTATATCTCGAGTAATATTGAAGTTAAACATATCATGTTTGGACTCATTTTGAAGTATTTTTAATAAAGATCACAAATATGTCAAATTTTACATTTATATAAACTATCTTATTGGTTTAATTATAAATTTTAAATTTTGTATAAAAATAATTTTGTGTAAATAATTTTGATGATGATCTCAGTATGATTTTAACGTTTGCGTTCTAAAAATAACGAAAACGATGATTTTATGCTTTATTTTTGTCCGTTATTCTAATCTTTTATATTTTAAATTTTTTAGAAAGAGAAGATCAATCAATTTTGTGTACGGGTGAATCAGGTGCTGGCAAAACAGAGAATACGAAGAAAGTTATTCAGTATTTAGCGTACGTAGCGGCTTCGAAATCACCCAAAGGATCAGGAGCGGTAAGAAAATCAACTCAAATAATAATCATATCCTTATTTTTCTATATATTAATTAATTTTCATTATTTAGAACTATTTAGACATCGCTTATTCTTTTCAAAACGAATTAAGTTGTATTAAGTAGAGCTATATAGATCTATTGTAATAAAAACTTTGTCTAATTGCTATTTTTCTTGCATGTCTTCCTTACTCCTGGACCACAGAAAGATCTTATTGTAAGTAAACTGCTTTTAATTTCTTGTTAAAAAGTCTATTTTTTTATTTAACTCGTTTCGTTTTGGCAACTGTCTCTTTTAACTTACGTAGAAGTATAAACAGGGCCGGATTAACCTCACTTTCTCGTAAACAAAATAGTTAATGCGAAATCCGGCTCTGAGTATTAAAAACTCAATATTTATTCCTATTGTTATTGTTTACACGCCACAGAGTCCCACGAGAGAATTCTCGGTATGTACAAAGTTTTAAAGAAAGTTTTTCATTCATTGTAACACATTAAATAACCACCCCATTTGTTATTTCTTTAATTAATTAATTATAAACAATAACTGATCGACAGAAAGCCATTTATTTATTTTGTTTAATTTTTTTCTTTAATATGTTCTTTAATTTATACATATTATGTGTTTTGTATATACAGGGTGGTCTTGAGCAACAACTATTACAAGCCAATCCAATTCTCGAAGCGTTTGGAAATGCTAAAACTGTCAAAAATGATAATTCATCTAGATTTGTAAGTAAATCAATACTTCCTTTTGAAAGTAATAATTAATATTGTTTTTTTTTTAATTTAGGGTAAATTTATTCGTATTAATTTCGATGCGTCTGGATACATCGCCGGGGCGAATATCGAAACGTATTTATTAGAAAAATCTCGTGCCATAAGACAAGCCAAACATGAAAGGACTTTCCATATATTTTATCAACTCCTAGCTGGAGCTAGTGCTGAACAAAAAAGTAAGAAATTTAATTTTTATTATTTTATAAGGAATTAATGAACTTCCGCATTTATCAAACAACGTTAAGGTTATCTTATCTTGCTTTCTTATTTATAAAAGAAAATTATTTATACAGATTTTATTATCTCTAACCTTACCCTAGAACTAAGGAACACGAAAAAATGCTTTTCATTCATTAAATTATTCGTAAAATAATTTTACCGTACTGTTCAGAGGGAAATTAAGTTTTTATATCAATATCTAGTGGTAATATTCAAAAATGTTTCGGACAAAAATTGTTTCAAATTTAATTTTAATCAAATATTATTTAAAAAATTATTTTATACAACCAATAATTGTTGAGGAAACCTCAAAATACCAAATTGTATCATTGCACAGCGCCATTTAGCGATTATATTAAAAAATGTTTCGAACAAAATTTGTTGCAAATTTAATTATAAACAAATATTATTTAAAAAATTTTTGTATGCAACCAATAATTATTGAGATAACCTAAAAAAAATCGTTTTTATACCTACGCGCAGCGCCACCTGGTGGAAATATCAAAATTTTTTTATTAACAAAGATGTTTTAAATCACATCCTAAACAAATATTGTAGGAAACATTTTTTGATAAAAACAATAACAAACTTTTGAATCAAGATTAAGAAATTTTTATACCAGTATAGCGCGCCATCTAGCAATAATATTGGATAATGTTTCAAATAAAAATTGTGGCAAATTTAATTTAAAACAAATGTTATTTGAAATATTTTTTTATATAAACAATAATTGTTGTGATAACCTCAAAAATGTGTGTTGTTGTATCAGCTCAACATAACGCCATCTTTGGTAAAGATATCGAAACTTTGTATTAACAAAATCATTCAAAATCTTTATTTAAACAAATATGAATAATCTGTATCTTAATGAAAGTTCACCAGAAATAAGATATGATCAAGAAAAAAAGCAAAAAGATTTTCTTGTAAATTAAAACTTTAAAAGTTACAGTTTAATACACAGCGCCATCTGGTGGAAATTTCTAAAAATATTTTAAACTAGCTAATTTAACTCCAAATAAATATTATTTGAATTGAGGTTATAATTATGACAACTATTTTTTTTTATCAACTAAATTTCAAATTAATTTTCTTTTTAATTTTCCAGAGGAATTTATTTTAGAAGAGCCAAAAACCTATCCATTCCTTCGCGAAGACAACCATTTGGTGCCAGGAGTGGACGATTCCGCCGAATTTCAAGCAACAGTTCGCAGCATGGACATAATGGGAATGACGAAAGAAGATTTTAGCGCAATTTTCCGCATAATATCCGCCGTGATGTTATTCGGAACGATGCAATTCAAGCAAGACAGAAATTCGGACCAAGCAACACTTCCAGAAAACACGGTAGCCCAAAAAATCGCCCACTTACTCGGATTATCCGTCACGGAAATGACAAAAGCCTTCCTAAAACCCCGCCTGAAAGTCGGCAGAGATTTCGTTACAAGAACCCAAACGAAAGAACAAGTCGAATTCGCCGTTGAGGCCATCTCAAAAGCTTGTTACGAGAGGATGTTTCGCTGGCTTGTTACGCGAATTAATCGGAGTTTAGGAAGAACTAAGAGACAAGGGGCGAGTTTTATCGGGATTTTGGATATTGCTGGATTCGAAATTTTCGATTTAAACTCGTTTGAGCAGCTTTGTATTAATTACACCAACGAGAAGTTGCAACAACTTTTTAACCACACCATGTTTATTCTCGAACAAGAAGAATATCAACGCGAAGGAATCGAATGGAAATTTATCGATTTCGGGTTAGATTTACAACCAACGATCGATTTAATCGACAAACCGATGGGGATTATGGCTTTATTGGACGAGGAGTGCCTCTTCCCGAAAGCCACCGATAAAACGTTCGTTGACAAATTAGTTTCGGCACATTCGGCTCACCCCAAATTTAAGAAAAGCGATTTTAGAGGGGTCGCCGATTTCTCGATTATTCATTACGCGGGGAAAGTCGATTATTCCGCGGATCAGTGGTTAATGAAGAATATGGACCCTCAAAACGAAAATGTTGTTTCGTTGTTGCAAAATTCGCAGGATCCTTTTGTGGTGCATATTTGGAAGGATGCTGAGTCGATTGGGAGGGCGAAAGGGATGTTTAGGACTGTCTCTTATCTTTATAAGGAGCAATTAGCGAATTTGATGGTGACTTTGAGGAATACTAACCCGAATTTCGTGAGATGTATTATTCCTAATCATGAGAAACGCGCGGGAAAAATTGATGCGCCGCTCGTTTTGGATCAATTGAGATGTAACGGGGTTTTGGAGGGAATTAGGATTTGTCGCCAAGGCTTTCCTAATCGAATCCCCTTCCAAGAGTTCCGCCAACGCTACGAGCTTTTAACCCCGAATGTTATTAACAAAGGCTTTATGGATGGAAAGAAAGCTTGCGAGACGATGATTAAGAGTTTAGAGTTGGATAATAACCTCTATAGGATTGGGCAATCGAAGATTTTCTTCAGAGCTGGGGTTTTGGCCCATTTGGAGGAGGAGCGCGATTATAAAATAACCGATTTGATCGTTAACTTCCAGGCTTTTTGCCGCGGATTTTTGTCGAGGAGGAATTACCAAAAGCGCGTTCAACAACTAAACGCGATAAGAATCATTCAGAGGAATTGCTCAGCTTATCTTAAATTGAGAAATTGGCAGTGGTGGAGGTTATACACCAAGGTTAAGCCCCTCCTTGAAGTTACAAAGCAAGAGGAGAAGTTGATGCAAAAAGAGGATGAGCTAAAACAGGTTAAAGATAAATTGGAGGTCCATTTAAAGACGGCCCAAGAGTTTGAGAGAAAATATCAATCCGCGATTGATGAAAAAACCGCTTTGGCTGAGCAACTCCAAGCTGAAGTTGAGTTATGCGCGGAAGCTGAGGAAATGAGGGCGAGATTAACGGCGAGGAAGCAAGAACTAGAAGAGATTTTGCATGATTTAGAAGCGCGAGTTGAGGAGGAGGAAGAACGCGCGAGCAACTTAAGTAACGATAAGAAGAAGCTTCAAATGACCATTCAAGACTTAGAGGAGCAATTGGAGGAGGAGGAAGCGGCCCGGCAAAAGCTCCAACTCGAAAAGGTCCAATGCGATGGGAAATTAAAAAAATTAGAGGAAGATATAGCTTTAAGCGAGGATACAAATCAAAAATTATTAAAAGAAAAGAAAATCCTCGAGGAGCGCTCCAACGATTTAAGCCAAACCTTAGCGGAGGAGGAGGAAAAAGCGAAACACCTCGCGAAATTAAAAGCAAAACACGAAGCAACAATAGCAGAGCTCGAAGAGCGCTTATTAAAAGACCACCAACAACGGCAAGAATCAGATCGCTCAAAGCGCAAAATCGAATCGGAAGTAAACGATTTAAGGGAACAACTCTCTGAGAAGCGCAGCCAATTAGAAGAATTACAACTCCAATTGGGTAAAAGGGAAGAAGAGCTCGCCCAAAGCCAAGTTAGAGTCGACGAAGAAGGCGCGCTTAGGGCCACGGCCCAAAAAGCGCTGCGAGAACTTGAAAGCCAACTAACCGAACTCCAAGAAGATTTAGAAGCCGAAAAAGTCGCAAGAAATAAAGCCGAAAAAATGAAGCGCGACCTCAACGAAGAATTAGAAGCCCTCAAAAACGAACTATTAGACTCTTTAGACTCAACAGCAGCCCAACAAGAACTCAGATCAAAACGCGAACAAGAATTGGCAACGTTAAAAAAAACCCTCGAAGAAGAAACATCAACCCACGAAGTCTCTTTAGCCGAATTACGCCACAAACACACCCAAGAACTCTCCGTTATTAATGAACAATTAGAAACTTTAAAAAAGGCTAAAGCTGGGTTGGAAAAGTCAAAACAATCCCTCGAAGCCGACAACGCAGATTTAGCCACCGAATTACGCTCGATCAGCTCGAGCAGACAAGAAAGTGATCGCAGACGCAAACAAGCAGAGAGTCAATTAACCGAGCTTCAAGCTAAACTCCAAGAAATCGAGCGAACCAAATCAGACTTACAAGAAAAAGCGGCCAAACTCCAACAAGAAGCCGAAAACATCTCGCAACAACTCGAAGAGGCCGAATTAAAAGCTTCAACGGCCGTTAAAAATCAAACGACGCTTGAATCGCAATTCGCCGAGGTTCAAGGCGCCCTCGAAGAAGAAACCAAATTAAAATTGGCTTTAAGCTCGAAATTGCGCCAATTAGAAGCGGATAAGGAAGCGCTCCGCGATCAACTCGAAGAGGAAGAAGAGGCAAAACGGAATTTGGAAAAGCAATTATCAGTTTTGAACGTCCAATTAATTGAGACTAAAAAGAAAGCGGAAGATGAAGCGGAACAAGCGGCGATTTTGGAGGAGAGCAAAAAGAAAATGGCCAAAGACATCGAAGCGTTACAAAGACAAGTCGAGGAATTAACCGCGGCTAATGATAAATTAGAAAAAAGTAAAAAGAAAATTGCCGCGGAATTGGAGGACTCCAACATCGACTTGGAAACGCAAAGGGGAAAAGTCGTCGAGTTGGAGAAAAAACAGAAAAATTTCGATAAGATTTTAGCCGAGGAGAAAGCCATCTCCGAAAAATTAGCCCAAGATAGGGATTCGGCGGAGAGGGAGGCGCGCGAAAAAGAAACGCGGGTCTTATCGTTAAGCAGAGAACTCGACGATTCCAACGAAAAAATCGAGGAATTAGAGCGAGTTCGACGCCAATTACAAGCGGAACTCGACGAACTCGTCAACAATCAAGGAACCGCCGATAAAAACGTCCACGAACTCGAAAAGGCTAAGAGATCCTTAGAGAGCCAATTAGCCGAGCTAAAATCGCAAAATGAGGAGTTGGAGGATGAATTGCAATTAACTGAGGATGCTAAATTACGTTTGGAGGTAAAAATTTAATTTTGACAGTTATAGTTTAATTTTGAATTAATAGATGGCGCTTTTACATTAAATTTATTAATTTATTATTAAATATAATATTATATAATATTAATGGACCGCGTTATGCATCACTTGACTAAGCGACAAATGAACAATGTTGAGAAAAACGAAATTTTCGTTTTCATCTCTCTAAAAATATAAGACTTCTCAGAATAGACAAACAAGTTTAAAATGTCAACCTCAATTTCGACATATTTGTAATCTTCATTAAAAATCCTTTAAAATGAGTACAAACACGACATATTTATCTTCAATATTAATGAAGTTATGGTCAACTTCCGGTTGGGAATGTCAACGTCATTTTGATATATTCTTAATTTTTATAAAATGTTTTAATATTTGTCATAAAAACAAAAATATAATAAAAAAGAAATTAAAAATTAAGGTTGGTATTAATATTTAAAAATCTTCATTGTTGCTAACTTCGGGTTTAATGTTTTTTTATTCTAACTTTTTTGTTTTTTGAGATAAATACGTCATCTTTGGACTCATTTTAAAGGATTTTTAATGAACATTTCGAATATGTCAAAATTGACGTTGACGTTTCAAACCGGAAGTGATTGTATCTCAATTAATATCAAAGTTAAATATGTCGAGTTTGGACTCATTTTAAAGGATTTTTTATGAAGATTACGAATATAATAATAAAATTAAAGTTGACATTGACAATTGAATGTATCTAGTTCTCGTTTTAGTTTTAGTTCAATAAAAATATACAACATCGTGATATCTTATGCTGATGAGAGATGTTAGTCTATTTGTAGAGTCTCTGAAGATGATCAAGGGCCGAAACTAAATGGTATTTTAGGTCTTTCGGTATTCTACCTACCAGACAGCAATCTCTAAAAACGATAAAATGTCGCTTAGTCAAATGATGTATAACGCGGTCCAAATATCATCAAGATTAATTAAATTTTTTTTTAATTATGTTGATTTTAAAACGAATTGAATATAAAACACTTAATATTTAATAATTAAGTTATTAATTAGTGATATATAACGAGATTTTTAACTTAGTTTCGTTTTAAACTCGACAAAAATAAGTTAAAAAGAATGCCAAGAAAATTAGTTAGTTTTTTTACCCCAAAATTTATTATTAAATAAATTAATAGATGGCGCTAGTTGTTAGATAACCTCAGATGTCATCAAGATTATTTTAATTGTGTTGATTTTAAAATTAATTCAATATACAACACTTAATTATTAAATATTAGTAATATATAACGAGATTTTTATCTTAGTTGCGTTTTAAATTCAACAAAAATAAGTTAAGTCAAGAAAATTAGTTAATTTTTACCTCAAAATTTATTAAATAAATTAATAGATGGCGCTAGATGTTAGATAACCTCAGATGTCATCAAGATTAATTTAATTTTATTTTAATTGTGTTGATTTTAAAACTAATTGAATATAAAACACTTAATTATTAAATATAAGTAATATATAACCAGATTTTTATCTCAGTTTCGTTTTAAACTCGACAAAAATAAGTTAAGAAAAATGCCAAGAAAATTAGTTAGCTTTTTACCCCAAAATATCGTAAGATTTTAGTTTTTTAGTATAAAAAAGAAATTAAATCACCTTTTTTTTAGGTTAACATGCAAGCTTTGCGTGCCCAATTCGAACGTGATATTCAAGCGAAAGAGGAACAAGCGGAAGAAAAACGTCGAGGAATTCTCAAACAACTCCGCGATTTAGAAGCCGAATTAGACGAAGAACGTAAACAAAGAAGTGCCGCTGTTGCTGCAAAGAAAAAGCTTGAAGGCGATTTAAAAGAGATCGAAGCTCAAGTTGAGTTACAATGCAAAGTAAAAGAAGACGCTTTAAAACAACTTAAAAAATCGCAACAACAATGTAAAGAAGCGACTAGAGACGCTGAAGAAGCTCGCGCAGCCCGCGATGAATTAGCGGCTAGTTGTAAAGACGCTGAAAGAAAAGTTAAAGCTTTAGAGGCGGAAATTTTGAGTGTTAGCGAAGATTTTGCGAGCTCCGAACGTGCTAGGAGAGCCGTTGAAGCCGAAAGGGACGAATTACAAGAAGAAATTAATAACAACGCGAATAAAGGGACGTTATTGATCGACGAAAAGCGTCGCTTAGAAGCTAGGATAGCCACGCTTGAAGAAGAATTGGAAGAAGAACAAAGTAACAACGAAATTTTATTGGATCGCGCGAGAAAGGCGCAATTATCAGTTGATCAACTCACAACGGAATTAGCAACGGAAAGAGCCGCTACCCAAAAAATGGATTCTAATAGATTACTTCTTGAGCGACAAAACAAGGAATTAAAAGCTAAATTAGCCGAATTGGAAACAGCGCAACGTACGAAAACTAAAGCTACGATTGCAGCGCTTGAAAGTAAAATAGCTAACTTAGAGGAACAATTAGAGGTGATTTATTAAAACAATATTTATTTACTTTGAAATTAATTTTATTAATTTTAGATTGAAGCGAAAGAAAGATTTGGTCAACAAAAAACGAATAGAAAGCTCGATAAGAAACTTAAAGAACTCGTTTTGCAATTGGAAGACGAAAGAAGACACGCGGATCAATACAAAGAGCAAGTTGAGAAGGCCAACGCGCGCGTTAAAGCTCTTAAACGGCAGTTGGATGAGGCGGAAGAAGAGATCAGTCGCGAAAAGGCCCAAAAGAGGAAGGCTCAAAGGGAATACGAGGATATGTTGGAGTCGCACGAATCGATGACTCGCGAAATAAGCAACTTAAAAAGCAAATTAAGGTGAGTTAATTAATAAATTAAAAAGGAATTATTATAAAAAATAAATTTCAATTTTTTAATGTGGTTATTTCTAATTTTTATTTCGAATTAATTTTTTTATAAACGGGTTATGTTTTGTGTTTAATAAAATAAAAAAAATGATTAGTTATTGCAAAAGTTGGTGTTTTAAAATTTGATGATTCAATGAAACTTAATATAGGATACAAATTTTGGTTCAGACAAATAAAAAATTTCTTCATTGAAGATTTTCTGCACAACAGAAGCCTTCTACTGTGACTTGTGGTGTCTAATATTGCATCAATGTGGAATTATAGATTAAATACTGCTGGGTAGTGTTAGGTATTAGATAATGTTACTAGAAAATTAGATCCTGCTTGCAGGAGACAACTTACTTTCTTTCAGCAGCCTAGATACGGTTGGCAGAAGCCAAGATACTGTTTACAGAAGAGTATATATTGCTTGCAGGTCTTTTCATTGCTTGTGGAGTCTTAGATATTGTTATCAGAAGACATCTTAATGCTTGCAAAAGCCACTAAACTGTTGGCAGAAAATAGATACTGGTTACAAGACATATCATTGCTTGTAGAAGTTTACATATTGTTTCTAAAAGACATCTCACTGCTTGGAGAAGTTTAAATATATTATCAGAAGATATATTATTATCTTATTGCTTACAGAAAAGTACTAACTGCGAATGCAAAACTACAAACTGCTGTTAAAAGACTGGATATTGCTAATGGAAGACTATATAATATATATTTGACAACAGAGAAGATATTGGAAGACAGAGGACTACATACTGGATTAGATCCTCATTGTGGGAAACAATTTATTTGCTTTTAGAAGCATAGATACTGTTGGAAGACTACATTTTGTTGATAGAATATATTTTGTTGCTTGCAGAAACCAAGATACCGTCGGAAGAAGGCTATATTTTATTGGCAGAAAAGTCCATACTGGTTGCAGGATACCTTATTGCTTAGAACATTAAATATTACTTTAAGAAGTCGTGTTTTTTCTTTGCAGAAACTAAAATGCTATTGGTGGAAGAGTAAATATCGGTTGTAGGACACCTTATTGCTTGCAGAATTTTAAATATTGTTGTCAGAAGTCATGTTAATGCTTGCAAAAACCAAGATACTGTCGGAAGAAGGCTACATTTTACTGGCAGAAGAGTCTATATTGGTTGCAGAACACCTTATTGCTTGCAGTACCTTAAATATTGTTTGCAAAAGTCATGTTACTACTTGCAGAAACTAAGATATTGGTCGCAGGACACCTTATTGCTTGCAGAACCTTAAATGTTGTTGTCAAAAGTCATGTTACTGCGGACAGAAACTAAGATACTAATGGCGGAAGAGTAAATACTGATTACAGAACACTTTATTGCTTGCAGAACCTTAAATATTGTTGTTAGAAGTTATGTTACTGCTTGCAGAAACTAAGATACTGGTTGCAGGATACTTCATTGCTTGCAGAACCTTAAATATTGTTGTCAGAAGTCATGTTACTGCTAGCAGAAACTAAAATACTATTGGCGGAAGAATAAATACTGGTTACAGGACACTTTATTGCTTGCAGAACTTTAAATATTGCTGTTAGAAGTTATTTTACTGTTTGCAGAAACTAAGATACTGGTTGCAGGACACTTTATTTTTTGCAGAACCTTAAATATTGTTGTCAGAAGTCATATTACTGTTTGCAGAAACTAAGATGACACTTTATTGCTTGCAGAACTTTAAATATTGTTATAAAAAATCATGTTACTGCTTACAGAAACTAAGATACTATTGGAGGAAGAGTAAATACTGGTTTTAAGACACTTTATTGCTTGCAGAAGCTTAAATATTACTTTAAGAAGTTGTGTTATTGCTTGTAGAAGCCAAGAAACTGTTGACAGAAGATTACATATATCTTGCAAGACACTTTATTGCCTGCAGAAACTTAGATAGGCAGAAGTGTGGATACTCCACAGAAGACTGAATATTGTTACTGGAAAAAGAAAGCTGCATATACTATCAGAGCACTATATATTGCTAATGAAGGCGAAATCTATTGTTCAATATTGTATTGATAATGTATCAACTATAAATTATGTACTGGTGATAGAAAACTAGATACTGCTGAGGTAAGACTGGATAGTATTAATAGAAGACTGGGTATTTCAAATAGAACACTTGCAAAATGCTATATACTGATGACAGAATACATATTACTGCTTGCAAAGACTTAAAATTAAAACTAAACTTGCTGTGTACCTATTCTGCCTCTTCTTTCAAATGCCACCAAACGTAATGTAGACAATAATTGCCGCGATTCTTTATTGAGTCCAACAACATCTTTCAGGCTTTTAGCTATTTGTTCCATCACATTAATTATTTTGTTTAATTATAAAAGTACGATATAATTTCTTAAGGCTTTCTCTATCTTCTATAATCCATTACAATTACCTTCTCACTTTTCGTTTAATAAAATTTAAAAAAATTGACGTTTGACAGCTAATTGTGATGTGTAATTTTGAGGTTATAATGTTAATATTTACCACCAACTTAAAAAAAATTTCAATTTTTATTTCATTAAACACTTAATTTAATTAATTGTTATTTATTATTAGGATAATTATGTATTATTTCCAGTGTAAAATCATGATGTGATACCCAGAGATCCGAATACATAGTTAAATACATTTTTACGAATAAGTAACGGTACGTTAAAGCGTTGAGACGAAATAAAAAAAAAAATTAATGATTTCGCGAAAATCCGCGATGAGCTTGCTAAAACGCATTGTTTGTTATTATTTTGCTATCGCATCTAGTTGCGAAACAAAGAATTTTTAATTTTTTTTAATTCCATTTAATCGGGTTTTTAATACCAACCTAAATAAAACAGTTTTTTTTTTCTTTGTTTGTAACTAACAAAAAATAACCAGGATTTTTTTTGCTTAATTTTTTTCTTTTTGATTAAATTTTTAATTAATTAATTAATTAATTTTGTTGTGAATTTAGGAGAGGTGCTGCCGGTATGGGTTTATCATCGACCAGAATAAGTTCGTCGAAACGGGGATCGATCCAAACGAGCGGAAACGGTTCAGGGGATGATTCAACCACGCAGGATGAGACCCTCGACGGCGACGATGGACCTAATTAATTAAAAAAGAATTACAAAAATTAATTTAAGTTGAGTTTCGGGATTTGCAATCGTTTTAAATGATTTTATTTCATTTTAAATTTTTGAGGATGTTTTTAATTTTTTTTTTGTAACGAGTTAATTAATCCCGTACTCTTTCTCTCACTTTTTTGTATATAATTAATCAGCAAAGAATTAAAAAAAAGATGAGAGATGTAAACATTAATATCAGGAAAAGTACTTAGCCATACGAATTTATAAAGAGAACGTAATTTTAAAAAATAATTTCTTTTGACATTAATTAATAATTATGTATATAGGTTAAATAAGAATTTTTCTTTTATTTTGGTTTATATAATTATTTTCTAAATTGTTTTTCTAAAATCAAACGTTTCTTTTTGTAAACTCGCCAATCAATCAATCAAAGCAGATTTTATTACTTTCTTAATTTATTTTAATTTTGGATTTCTGCGTTATTTAATTAAGTCCACATGGTGGTCTCACCTTTTATTATTATTACATTTTCTATAGTTTACTTAAACGTTACGTCTCGTTTTTTTTTGTACCGCTTTTTTTAATATTGAACCACAAGTTGCCTTTTTATGCATTTTCACGTTTATTATTATTATTATTCAAAATAATTATTGTACTACGTTTAATTTTAATTTTTTTTTGATTTAAATAAAAATATAGGGAACATAATCACACGATTGTTTAAGATTTTGGTTAAAATGTAAAGAGAGGTGACTAAAAACGAGTGTCTGCTTGTCTTATTATAATTTTTTTTCTTTTTGTATAAAAATGATCGAGTCGCTGGCTTATTCGCGTCTTGTATATAATCCTCGTATTTTCTATTTTTGGGTTACGGTCTATTTGTACTTTAACAAATTCAATCAATATATTAGAAATTTATAAAAAAAATTGTGTTGAATTATTTAAACCCTAAATTTATGCAACCAAATTTGTTTTGGTGTTAAATTGGTTGCGTTTTTATTTCAAAATGTGTGCTATTCATTATAATTTTCTTTTCGCTGATTTAATTATATTATAATCCTCGTATTTTCTATTTTTGGGTTACGGTCTATTTGTACTTTAACAAATTCAATCAATACACCAAAAATTTATTAAAAAAAATTGTGTTAAATTATTTAAACCCTAATTTTATGCAACCAAATTTGTTTCGGTGTTAAAGTGGTTGCGTGTTTATTTATTTAATTATTTAAAATGAAACCAAAATTTCATCGACAAAGCTTTATTTCGGTTTTTTTTATTTTTTTAACATCATCAAAAACTATCACTACCTATATATCAAATATCTATATATTTTTGTATATTGAATAAGTACCTACTATTTTTTTTCTATTTATAATACATTGTTTTATTAATTTAATTAACGTCCATGAAGTAGTTTTTTATAATTAAAATTGTTCATTGGACGTGTATACCTCGTTTCTTCTTTTTAAATAAATGAAAAAAAGCGATAAATTAATTTTTTACCCTGTTGGAGATAAAAATAAAATTTGTGTGGGAAAGGTTCAAAAAAATAAAGAATAAACTTACGAGGATAATAATTTTCATCATTTTTATGTTACGACACACAAATAAATAATAATAATTAATTAATTAATAATAATAATAATTAATAATTTTCGATTTGTATCTTATCCTAAACGATTTTATTTTTTTCTTTACAATTTATCTTTATAATTTTGACAGACCAAATTTACATTTTAACATTTACCTTTTTACATAATGCCAGGGATACGTTCCTTATTTTCCATTGTTTTTTTTTTTGCTTTTTTTAAATAGATTAGAACCTTAAATTTTAATTTTATTAGATATTAAGATACCTTTTTACAATTTTTTTCGTGCGCCCAAACAAACAAGAAAAATAAACCAAAAACAATTTAAAAAAAATCTCTTTTTTGGTACTTTTTATTTTTTGTTTTTTACCCTGCATTCCTCTCGTTTATTTAAAACAAATTTTATTTCTATTGTCTCTCAATTTCATTTTTTTTAATCGCAACAAATCATTAATTATTTAAATAACTAATAATACTTTTTAGGAATGTCTATAATTTAATTAAAAAAAAATTATATTTACAAAAAAAATTAAAACCAGCACCATTTAACTACTTATTTCGATTAAACTTATTTAAATTAATACATAACCCATTAATTTTATTCGATTTTCGGGTAGAAAATTAAAAACCCTTTAATTTGAGCCCAAACACCTCTACATTATCTCAAAAAACAACCGAGATACACTCAAAAACATCAAAAATAAAATAAAAAACAATCGACGATCGTTGATTTTCAAACAATCGTATCTCCGTTGTTTTTAAAGATAACCTCATTGAGTTTGGGCTCATTTTAAAGCGTTTTTTGAGTAGATTTCGAAAAAAAGTTAATTTTAATTATTTGATAATATCCAAAGAGAATTTCTTTGGTAAATAGATAAAATAACAAAAATTAAAAAAAAAATAATAATAATAAAGGAACGTTGTTGCTTAGATTGCACGTATTATTGCGATTTTAATTTTTTAATTAATTTTTTAATTTTTTTTGCGCGTATACTGACGTTTCTTTTTAAATACAACAAAAAATTAATAAAATAATAATAAAGAGGAACTTGAAATGAGAAGAGTGAAATTAAATAATGAGATAATTAATTAATTAATAATTAATAATACTTAAATAAATTGTAGTAAATAATACTTAATAAGATTTTATGTTTTTTTTTGTTTATAATAATACTTGATGTACACAACCTTTGTTTTTTTAATTAATTAATTAATTAAAAATATTTGAAGTGGGCAAAATATTTTTTTAACGAATATACTCTATATTTAACTAATATATTAATTCTTAAAACGATTTTTTTAAATTAATTTAATTAAAAAAAATTAATTAAATAATCTTTTTTAATTTTCCGGGGATGTGGTAACATTTACTTAACCTCCTAAGGAAAGTAGGGTAATAATAATAATAATTAACTAATAATTAATTAATTAATAATAAAAAATTAATAATTAATAATAATTAATTAATCAATAATAATTAATTAATAACTCTAACACAGTCGCGTTGGTTTCATTTTTTCTTCTACAATACTCGAGTATTATTTTTAACTATAAGATTTAATGTTTTTATCACAAGTGTTTTCTTAACGCATTCATTCAAAAAAGATTTTTCAAATTTTTTTTATTAAATTTTCGATTTTTAAACGTTTTAATCGATTAGACAATGAAAAATCCTTCAATTTGAGTCCAAACACCACTAGATTATTTCAAAAGACACCCGAGATACGCTCAAAAATGTCAAAAAAATTTAAAAAACAATCGAAGATCGTAATCTTTAATTTATCGTATCTCCCTTGTTTTTAGAGATAACCCCATCGAGTTTGGGCTCAAATTCGTGGATTTTTTGTGTAGATTTCGAATTTTTAGTTTAAAAATAAAAAAAAAATAAAAAAATTTAGTTCGATATTCACACGTACACATATTATTTTATTTTTATAATAACATTTTCTCAACAAATTTACAAGTTATTTAGTTGTATTTTTTTTTTGTTTTTTGGAAGCCACCGCAAAATTTTTTTTGGTTAAAAATAACCAAAAAAAATTTTTCATGCTCGTTTTCGGTTTTAAAAATGTTTCGACTTTAATCACTAATGATGTGTCTGCAATTTTGTAATCGTTCCGATTTGCAATGTTTAATTTTTTATATTTTTTTTTTTAATTATTTTTTGTGTCGAGATTTGAACTTATTTATACCCTGCAAAAATTGTGTTCTCCTAAATCGTTTTTTAAAAATTTCTTTTTTCTTCTTAAGTAAATCTTAATTGTCCTATTTTTTTTCTTTGATAAAAAAAAAGTATTTAAAGTGCTTTTTAATTTTTTTTTTCTTCTAAATTTGTGCAATTTTTTTTTAATTAATTAAAAAAAAATTTAAAGCGGTTAATTTATAGCCGAAATAGGTTTTTTGTATTAAATTTTTTTTGTACATACATTTTTAACCGTATACTTGTTAACTATCTTTTTTTTTAATTTTTTTTAATTCCTAAAATTACTTTTTACAAAGAGAGAATCCCAAAAAAAAATTTTTTTTAGTTTATAGACCGCTTTTCATTTTCATTTAAGTTCGTTTTCATTACACAATCGGAAAGTTCCAACGTTATTTTCATTGTCAATTTTTTAATTACTTAACAATCTTTTTTTATTAATTTTGAATGTGGCTTGGTTTTTGTTGGAAAAAAGCGCCCAAAAAAATTAAATTATTTTGGCAACTGTGTGTTTAGTTCATGTAATAAGTAGTATTAGGCGCTTAATCAGTCTGTATTTTGTATTATTCTGCAAAAAAAAATTTTTTTCTTTAATTAACCCCTCAACTCATTAAAAAAATCGTACTCCCCACTAAAAATCCTTCAATTTGACACCAAACTCGATGGGGTTATGTGTAAAAACAACCGAGATATCCCCAAAAACATAAAAAAACAAAAGAAAATCGCCATATTTAAATTAATCATATCTCCGTTGTTTTTTAAGATAACCCTATCGTGTTTGGGCTTATTTCGTAGCATTTTTGATGAGAATTACGATTTTGCCATTAAAAATGAGTTAAAGGATTAAAATATTTTTTTCTTTAATTAACCCTATAATTTAATAAAAAAATCGTAATCCCCGCAAAAAATCCTTTAATTTGACACCAAACTCGATGGGGTTATATCTAAAAACAACCGAGATAACCCCTAAAACATAAAAAAAAACAAAAGAAAATCGAAATTTTTAAATTAATCATATCTCCGTTGTTTTTTAAGATAACCCCACCGTGTTTGGACTCATTTTAAAGCATTTTTGATGAGAATTACGATTTTGCCATTAAAAGTGAGTTAAAGGGTTAAAATATTTTTTTCTTTAATTAACCCTCTAATTTGTTAATAAAATCGTACTCCACACCAAAAATCCTTCAATTTGACACCAAACTCGATGGGGTTATCTCAAAAAACAACCGAGATAACCCCAAAAACATAAAAAAAAACAAAAGAAAATCGCCATTTTTAAATTAATCATATCTCCGTTGTTTTTTAAGATAACCCCGTCGTGTTTGGGCTCGTTTTAAAGCATTTTTAATGATAATTACGATTTTGTCACGAAAAATGAGTTAAAGGGTTAAAAAAATGTTTGAAATGGTGCAATTTAATTTTTTTCGGCGCGATTTAATTTAATGTGGGGGGCGTAAAGAAAATATTTCTATTTTTATTGTTAAATATATTTTTAAACTGTACAAAAACTGTAAAAAATCACAGTATTCTCCGTATTTCATTTAATTAAATCGCGTGGGGTTTTTCGTTTTGAGCCTATTTCCATTAATTAATTTCTTTTTGTTTTTTTTTTTAATTTAATGAAATTCATAGTGGACGTGGAAACGAAGATTCCCGGAAACTCCCCAGCGATTTTAATATGTTAGTTTATTTATCGGAAATAAAAAGAGTCTGTATATATTTCTGTTATTTAAATATTTTTTGGTAGAAATATTTTTTATTTATTTAAAAAATCTGTATGTAAAATATCTGTGTGTGAGGAACTGTACTTTACTTTAATCTTCTTCACCATCTGTAGTAGTAACAAAATAAATTCTGCGAGATACTTTTATGAAAAAAAACTTTGTTGGAACATTGGCAATTATGATACATAATCAGTCTTTTGCTTGTTGTGTTCTTGTGTATGTTATTAATTTTTAATAATTTGTTGAACCAATTTATTTTTGAGTTTTTTGAACGGTCGAAACTTTTCAAGTACATACAGGAAGCACTTATAGCTTACATCTAAAGAAACGAATCATCTAAAAAAATCGTTTTTAGTCCTGTCCGTTTTGGACTAACTCTCTTCGATCCTCGTGCGATATCGAACTGGACATAAACACATCTTGCGGCTCATCCTTCACCCTATCATTCTTACCATCGTCCTCGATTTGCTGCCGAAAATGCTCCCGATTCTTCTCGCTTTGCGGTAATAAATGGATCATGCTAACGGGAATTGGAAAGCCAGCCCCAAAATCCGGATAAAAATTCGGCGAAAATGGATTGAACATTTGCTGGGGGGTCGTCTCCCGACTCGAAGGCATCTCCTCCGTGCTCCCGGGCCTTGTGTTGGGTTGGAGCACGTCGTGCTCCCGATCGGAGTTTTTTAACGAATTGTTGTTGTTGTTCCCCGAAACGCTCATCATGTCAATTTGGGAGCCCGGTGCGGCGATGCAATCCTTCCGAAGCTGCTCCAACTTCAAACTCTTCCCGTATTTACCTCGGACGTACATCAGAAGCGAGTTGTAGGGGATCCCGAAGATTCTCGAAGCCTGACTCGTCGTCATCTTCTTGTTCCAAACGTGTTGGAGAGCCTCCGTTAATTCAGCGTTCGTCCAACTCCTCGGCGGACCACCCCTAGGCGCGGAATGTTGCCCTTTTGGTCTTCCCACTGCAACAAAAATTAATTTTAACTCATTAGTTAGATTAATTAGGAAATTTCGTGAATTTTGATACCAAACACGACCTACTTATCTGTAAAAACAAAAAAGTTGGGAAAAAAACAAAAGACGAATCAAAAATTAAATATCTCCGAGACGATTTAAAATAAACCCGTCGAGTTTGGTATCAAAATTCATCATTTTTAATTCTAAATCGATTCGAATAGCTAATAATTAATTAATTTGAATAAAAAAAAATAAATATTATTTCTTAAAAATCGCCAGAATCAAAAAAAAGTTAATTTTAATGATTAATTCGGATTAATTAGGAAATTTCGTGAATTTTGATACCAAACACGACCTACTAAGCTTTAAAAACAAAAAAGTTGGGGAAAGAAAACAAAAGACGAATCAAAAATTCAAAATTAAATATTACCCAGACGATTTAAAGTAAAACCGTCGAGTTTGGTATCAAAAGACATCATTTTTAATTCTAAATCGATTCAACTTGTTAATAATTAATTAATTTTAATCAAAACAATCGATTTTTATTTCTTAAAAATCGCCAAAAATCGAAAAATTTTAATTTTGATCATGAATTTGGGTTAATTAGGAAATTTCGTGAATTTTGATACCAAACACGACCTACTTATCTTTAAAAACAAAAAAGTTGTCGAAAAAAAAACAAAAGACGAATAAAATATTAAAAGTTAAATATCTCCGAAACGATTTAACATAAACCCGTCGAGTTTGGTATCAAAATTCATCATTTTTAATTCTTAATCGATTCAAATAGTTAATAATTAATTAATTTTAACCAAAACAATCTATTTTAATTTCTTAAAAATCGTCAAAAACCGAAAAATTTTAATTTTGATCATGAATTTGGGTTAATTAGACAATTTCGTGAATTTTGATACCAAACACGACCTACTTATCTTTAAAAACAAAAAAGTTGTCGAAAAAAAAACAAAAGACGAATAAAATATTAAAAATTAAATATCTCCGAAACGATATAACATAAACCCGTCGAGTTTGGTATCAAAATTCATCATTTTTAATTCTAAATCGATTCAAATAGTTAATAATTAATTAATTTTAATCAAAACAATCTATTTTAATTTCTTAAAAATCGTCAAAAACCGAAAAATTTTAATTTTGATCATGATTTTGGGTTAATTAGAAAATTTCGTGAATTTTGATACCAAACACGATCTACTTATCTTTAAAAACAAAAAAGTTGTCGAAAAAAAACAAAAGACGAATAAAATATTAAAAGTTAAATATCTCCGAAACGATATAACATAAACCCGTCGAGTTTGGTATCAAAATTCATCATTTTTAATTCTTAATCGATTCAAATAGTTAATAATTAATTAATTTTAATCAAAACAATCTATTTTAATTTCTTAAAAATCGTCAAAAATCGAAAAATATTAATTTTGATCATGAATTTGGGTTAATTAGGAAATTTCGTGAATTTTGATACCAAACACGACCCATTTATCTTTAAAAACAAAAAAGTTGTCGCAAAAAAAAACAAAAGACGAATAAAATATTAAAAGTTAAATATCTCCGAAACGATTTAACATAAACCCAGCGAGTTTGGTATCAAAATTCATCATTTTTAATTCTTAATCGATTCAAATAGTTAGTAATTAATTAATTTTAATCAAAACAATCTATTTTAATTTCTCAAAAATCGTCAAAAATCGAAAAATTTTAATTTTGATCACGAATTTAGGTTAATTAAGAAATTTCGTGAATTTTGATACCAAACACGACCCATTTATCTTTAAAAACAAAAAAGTTGTCGAAAAAAAACAAAAGACGAATAAAATATTAAAAGTTAAATATCTCCGAAACGATTTAACATAAACCCGGCGAGTTTGGTATCAAAATTCATCATTTTAAATTCTGAATCGATTCAAAACACAAAAAATAATTAAAATTGAAACAAAAAAATCTTTTTTGTGCTTAATCGATTACTTACTTTTCTTTTTAACGAATAACGATGATTCATTAGTTCTTGGATCGGCCATCTCTAAAAGGGGATTCCGACAACCTTCCAAACCGGGTGGAAATAGCCCCAAAGATGCGTCTAAACTAAACACTTAAAAAGACAATTTATTAATAATTAATTTTTTAATTCCGAAGTAATCTTACGATTATTATGAGGTTGGCTCATTGCTAACGCCGAAACATTCGGCATCGGTGGAAACGGAAGATGACCATCCCGTAATAACGGTTGGAGTCCTAGGGGTGGCGAAGTATTAAAATCTTTCCCTCCGGTTAAACTCAAATCCAACTCGGGGCTTCCGGTCGTTTCTGGCGACTTCGATTGTTGTTCTATATCTTTCTTCTCATCTTTGGGATGAACTAACTTTTTTACGCACAAATTTTCTGCCGTTTCTTCACCGTCAGGGGGCGATTGGGGTTGTTTTTGCGCCACTAAATTCGACAGGGTCGTCGATAAATCTTGAGCTGTGCATAATTCGCCCGATCTTCTTCTCGGTCTAGCTTGCTTTCTCCTCGGAATCGGCGATTGACAGTCATTTCTTTGTTGCGATGACGGTATTAAGCTTTCCGGAAACGATAATTGCCCCATATGTGGTAATTTAATTTGGCTAAGAGAATCGTAGTTGTGTTGATTACCGGGGAGTGGCGAGAAAGGTGATGATCTTTCCGTTGGAGTTGTTCTCATCGTCATTCCGGGTACTGGAAACCTCGCGTTGTGATAAAAATTCCTTTCATAATCGTTGGGGGAACTTGACGGTGCTGGACTTTGGTTGCTGTGGTGATGGTGGTGGTGGTGATGTTGATTTTGACCGATTTCTTTTTGTTGGGTGTGATGTAAATTAGTGCTCGTACTCGTTCCTATATCGTCTAATCCTCGTATTTGTAAACTTTCGGCCGCTTTTATTAAACTTTGTAATTGTTCCCTTCCGACGCTTATTTCACCTTTGTACATAAAATCGACGATTGCTTGCACTTCCCAACCGCTAAAATCTTTCAAAACGATAACTGGGTGTTTACATGGATTTTCGGAAAAAATTCGTTGGAAAAACGGCGAACATGCACTTAAAACGACTTTATGGGCGCGCACTGAGGTTTCCGCGCAAACCAATGTTACATCAACCAAAGTTTCAGCCTGGAGTAGTGCATCGAATGCTGTTAGAATATGATTTTGGTGGTTGTTCCATCTTAATGAGTAATGCGATTCCGTCGTGGCCATCGTGGGAGTTGATTCGGTGTTAAACGAAATTTTGCATTTTTTTGAAAAATCGGGATTCAATTCTACAACAAAAAAATATCAAATAAGACTTCAAAAAACAGAAACATTTAATAAATACCATTTTTTAAAATAGAATATGTCATATCACTTTTATTAAGGTTATTTCACTACTTATTTTTTTTTTATTTTTAAGACAAACGTTTTCGATGGAGTTTTAAACGAAAAAGGGCAGGTATAACATTTGGCACGGGCTAAAAACGTTCTCGAAAAAGTGGTGGGGGAGTTGAGTACCTGTTTTCTTGTGTTATCTTTCTCGTATGATGGAGAATAAGACGTAAAAATTACCTGCTTTCTTGTGTTTTCGTTTTCTCGGAAAATATACACGTGATTTTATGATTTTATTTTCATAGTTTATGACCCAAACATAATAGAGGGTGCTTTATTGCGTGACCGTTTTCTGAAGTTAGTTTTAGGAGTTTCCCGAAATATTTAATACGCACACAGAAGCCTCAGGTAGAAGATTTAGCTCCGAATTAAGCACCAAATCGCTTAATTATAAACAAAAATTTTTGTATTAACCCGAAATCATTTCGTTCTCATAAAAATCGTAATCTCCACCAAAAATGCTTCAAAATGACACCAAACTCGATGGGGTTATCTCAAAAAACAACCGAGATACAAACAAAAATATCTTTAAAAAAATTGACGATCGCAATATTTAAATTAATCATATCTCCGGTGTTTTTAAAGATAACCACACCGAGTTTGGACTCATTTTGAAGGATTTTTCATTTTCTTTGCATCAAAAATGAAATTAACCACATAAAGACAACTCAAAAATGAATATATGTATTTATGGTAATTTTTTGATGGTGAAATCGTGTTAATTAATTAATCAATTTCATATATTTAATTAAATATAATACAAATTTCGCATTTTTTTTAATATAATTCGACTAACTACAAAAATCGTAAAAATGATGATCGAAATTACTTGATGTTAGAGAAATCGTAATCCTCATGAAAAATGCTTAAAAATGATACCAAACTCGATGGGGTTATCTCAAAAAACAACTGGGATAACCCCAAAAAACATCAAAAAAACAAAAGAAAATCGCAATTTTCAAATTAATCATATCTTCGTTGTTTTTAAAGATAACCTAGTCGTGTTTGGACTCATTTTTAATGATTTTTCATTTTCTTTACGTTAAAAATAAAATTAATGACTTTTAATATAAATCAATCGTTCAATATCATAAACATAGCTAAGTGCGTTGATTTTATTGTCGAATTAGGAGTGGTTTTATAATTTACGATTAAAGACAAAAATGCAGTTTAACATTTTATTTTTTATTTCAGAACTTTTGTTATTAAATATATCACTTATTATATATCATTTTAAAGGTTAAGAACTTTTTTAAAGCTTTAATTTGGTATATAAGTCGTCTCTTAAATGTCATAAACGCGACAAATGCATTGACTTAAAGTTTGAGTTGAGTTTAAGATTTTATAATAGTTAAAAACAGAGTTTTAGTTTTTATTTTTTATCTCAATATTTTTTAAATCAAATATATCACTTATTATATATCATTTTAAAGGCTAAGATTACAGCTTTAATTTGGTATATAAATCGTCTCTCCAATATCATAAACACGGTAACTGCATTGATTTAAATTTCATGCTAGTTAGAGTAATTATCGTTTTAAGTCAAAAACAGACATTTACATTTCATTTTTTATCTCGAAACTTTCTATATCAAATATATCACTTATTATGTATCATTTTAAAGATTAAGAACCCAGCTTTAATTTGGTATATAAATTATTTCTTCTATATCATAATCACAGCAACTAGATTTATTTTAATTTTGGGTTAATTTAGAGTGGTGTAAATAGCAGAGTTTTACTTTTTAGTCATTATCTCAAAACTTTTTATATCAAATATATCACTTATTATATATCATTTTAAAGGTTAAAATGTCATCTTTAATTTAGTATATAAATCGTTCCTTCAATATAATAAACACAGTAAGTACGGTGATTTAAATTTCATGTCAATTTTATAATTTTCGCTTTAAGTTAAAAACAGAGTTTTACGTTTTATTCTTTATCTCAAAACTTTTTAAGTTAAATATATCACTTATTATATATCATTTTAAAGATCAAGATCTCAGCTTTAATTTGATATATAAATCGTTTCTTTAATACCATAAACACAGTAAGCGCAGTGATTTAAAGTTCGGGTTGAGTTAGAGTTATTTTACAATTTTCGCTTTAAGCCAAAAACAGAGTTTTACTTTTTACTCATTATCTCAAAAGCTTTTATATCAAATATATTATTTATTATATATCATTTTAAAGGTTAAGATCGCAGCTTTAATTTGGAATATAAATCGTTTCTACAACATCATTAATGATCTTAATGAGACACTTTAAACTTTCTTAATTTTGATTTGAAATAAAAATAAAAAAATGAAATTGAGAGATGTTTAATTTGACTTTATCAAAAGAACTTACCCCAAATTTCATCACTAAACACCTCACAATTTTATTTTTTTTTTCTATTTGGATTAATTCTTTTTAAATTTTTAATCGCACTTTAAAATGATTAATTGTAGTGTGTTGGCGTTAAATTTGTAGGGATTGATACAACATTGATAAAATTTGGTTACGAAGCATCGCGGGATCTTCGTCAGCTGATTTTTGTATCGCACGTGGCGGAATTTGGCGCGCGAGGCACGTGGACACCCTTCAGAGAAACTCTCGAACTTCCCCGGGTTTATTTCTCCAAATTTATTTTCACTTTTTGTTTGCACCTCGTTTTAGATTTTTATCGAAATAAATCAAAAAATTTTAATTTCACTTTAATCTCAGCCACTCTTAATAAATATTATTCGTGATAATCACTTTTAATTTAAAATAATAATATTTGGAATTAATCCAAAAATTTAATTATATTGAAAACGATTCATTATGAAACGTTGAGTGAAAGAAAAAGTGTTGATTAAGTTAATGTTGAGTGAGTGTGTGTGTGTATAAATAATTTTTTTGATGTTTGTTATAGTGTAAAATCACACCTTTCCAGTAGATGTCGCAATAAGAACGTTGACCGAAAAGGTTTGTTTCGGTCGTCGTCGGATCGAGAAGGCGGCGTGAGTCGGACTGATTTCAAAAATGTACTAGGACGCAATGGTAGCATAATTCTCAGATCCACTGTTAATGAATCCGATTAGACAAAGCTTGCAGGACGGCGAAGACGCAGGCGTCGTCGTCGACGGCGGCGGCGGAGGCCCTCCGCCCCCTCAGCGCGGCGCCCCCCCGCGCCCTCGCGAGAGACCGACCGGACTTAGTGTTTCTCCTGTGCGGCCCCTTAGTTATAAATTAAGGGGCGGCCTACTACGTACAGTCACATACACGCGACGCCGCCACCACCGTCGGTGGCGCCCCCACTCTTTTCTTCAGACGAGCAACGAGGAGGACCACCACTAATTACTACTATGGTGAGGACGGAGAGCGCCGCGACGACCCGAGAAGGGGAGGGAACATCGCGGCGCCCCCCACTTAAAAATAAAAAAATATTCGAAACACAAAAATTAAAAAAAAAATAATAATCACGGAACAACTTTTTCTTTTTCTGACGACGAACGCGGTTTGTTGGGGTGCTGAGCGGCGGAGCTTCGCGCCCCAAGTAGAGCTTTGTCGCGAGCTTCAAACCTCGGAACCCGCGTGGCGCTCGCCCCCACCGCTTCCCCTCGCGACGATCATGTGTGGAGCATATGCGTTCTAAATCTACATTTTCCCCAAACTTTTAACGTCAATAATTTTCTATTTAACTCCCACAACAAATTTTATATTAAATATATCACTCATTATACATCATTTTAAAAGTTAAGATCCCAGCTTTAATTTGATATATAAATCATTTCTTCAATATCATAATCACAGCAGCTAGATTGATTTTAATTTCGGAATAATTTAAAGTGCTTCAAAAAATAGAGTTTTACTTTTTACTTTTTATCAAAAAAATTTTTAAATCAAATATATCACTTATTATGTATCATTTTAAAGGCTAAGATTACAGCTTTAATTTGGTACATAAATCGTCTCTTCAACATCATAAACACGGTAAGTGCGTTGATTTAAATTTCATGTTAGTTTCAGTAATTTTCGTTTTAAGTCAAAAAAAGACTTTTACATTTTATTTTTTATCTCTAAACTTTCTATATCAAATATGTTACTTCTTATATATCATGTTAAAGGTTAAGAACCCAGCTTTAATTTGGTATATAAATCATATCTTTATAATCATAATCACAGTAACTAGATTGATTTAAATTTCGTGTTAATTTGGAGTGACGTAAAAAAAGACTTTTACTTTTTACTCATTATCTCAAAACTTTTTATATCAAATATATCACTTATTATATAATTGATATATAATTGATATATAAATGATATATAAATCGTTTCTTCAATATCATAATCACAGCAACCAGATTGATTTTAATTTCGGGTTAATTTAGAGTGGTGTAAATAGCAGAGTTTTACTTTTTACTCATTATCTCAAAACTTTTTATATCAAATATATCACTTATTATATATCATTTTAAAGGTTAAGAACCCAGCTTTAATTTGATATATAAATCGTTTCTTCAATATCATAATCACAGCAACTAGATTGATTTTAATTTCGGGTTAATTTAGAGTGGTGTAAATAGCAGAGTTTTACTTTTTACTCATTATCTCAAAACTTTTTATATCAAATATATCACTTATTATATATCATTTTAAAGATTAAGAACCCAGCTTTAATTTGATATATAAATCGTTTCTTCAATATCATAATCACAGCAACTAGATTGATTTTAATTTCGGGTTAATTTAGAGTGGTGTAAATAACAGAGTTTTACTTTTTACTCATTATCTCAAAACTTTTTATATCAAATATATCACTTATTATATATCATTTTAAAGATTAAGAACCCAGCTTTAATTTGATATATAAATCGTTTCTTCAATATCATAATCACAGCAACTAGATTGATTTTAATTTCGGGTTAATTTAGAGTGGTGTAAATAACAGAGTTTTACTTTTTACTCATTATCTCAAAACTTTTTATATCAAATATATCACTTATTATATATCATTTTAAAGGTGAAGACCCCAGCTTTAATTTGGTGTATAAATCGTTTCTTCGGGATCATAATCATAAGAACCACATTGATTTAAATTTCGAATAATGTCATGTTGGAATAATAGTTTTTAATTTAATTCGGACAACAAAAAAATTTAAACTAAGGGAAAAAACGTCACGTGTGGCTCTGATTTATCTGCCCATTCTTCGCGCTTGTTTATTCATCCGTTGACAGCATAATGGCAGTGGAGTCGCAGTTCGCGTAAGTCACGACCTAAACCTGTAATTTCTCTCTCTTTCAATAATAATTTCGCTTAGAAATCGATTCAAAGAACCTTCTCCTCATTTTTTTGTTTTTCCTTTAATTTTTTTTAATAAAAAAAAAACTAATCGATACGTTTTGCATGTAAGGAACGAATGTGTGCCGAAGGGGAGCGATCACCCCTTTTCATCTCTCCCCTCAATATCCCAAGACGCTTATAATTACCCTACTACCTCTCCTTCTCTTTCTCTCTCTCTCTTTCTCCCGTT